ATGTTCCTAGGCAGTAAAGTAAACACTGCCTATTCTCTGAAAAGGCAGTGTTTATGTTAAAATACCTGCAGGGACATACTATACACACCAGAAAAACTACATTAAGCTACATTACATTAACTACAGTCACCAGAAGCTGTTCTGGTGACTATAGTGTCTCTTTATTGTATCTTGGTGCATGTGATATAAAAGGCCAACTGTCAGTAATTTTTTTTTTTTCCTTTTCTTTTCCTTGAAAGGAGTTTAATCACCCGCAGGATAATTTCACTCCCACTTAAATGAGCGTGTGTTAATTCCAGGTGCTCATGTATTGCTCACTTAACGTTCTGTCGAGGAATGAGGTAGAACGCACATTTCGTAAATGCTGCTGGGTTGATTGTAACTGTTACCAATGCACGCATTTCAATATCCTTTTAAAATAATTGGGATTGTAACTTGCTCAACCTGTTTCTGATATGATTTTGTTATTTGCAAAACTGGTTAATGATTCATGAAAGACAAGCTGGTACATATCATTCTTTTAAAACGATACTTAATGATTTTGTAACTGTAAGGTATGTGAATGTGATTATTTTAACTCTTTTTTAGTTAAGATTTTTTTTTTAATATTCACCATGTAAAAAACAGACATCAAAGTTCAGAAATATAGTTCAAACACTATAGAAGCATATCATACGTTTCAGAACCAGTAATTTCTTGGGAGAAAGTGTAGTTGAGAAAGGAAAAAGATACTTGAAAGAGGGAATGGACAAGTGGAGAGGTAAAGGTATGAATATGATTAGCATGGGCGCTTTCTACCCTTCACTTGTGGTTATAAGGGGGGCAATTATTCAGCCACTAAGCAGAAACGCATTAAGATCCCACAGGACTCTAGAAAAGTTTGGGGTTCACCATTCATTTTTCACATAGGGATGGATACTGGGGCCAGGCCAACTAATGGTTCCAGTGCCCCTTTCTAACCCCTGGGCCCTGGGCAGCCACCTAAATGTACTCTAAACGTGAAGTTACAGTTTTGGATGGGCAGGGAAGTGTTGAACTGAAGGGGAGCAAATCTTAAAGTTCTAGAATATAACCACTATAGCTTGGCGTGGTCGGTTATGTTGCTAAGAGTCTCTGGACACTGTCCCCTGGTTCTTTGTCAAAGTGTTCAGAATTAGAAGCAATTTGTTAAAAACTGTAGACTTCCTCTTACAAGTTGATTGAGTGTGATCAGTTCGGACTATGGGTAAAAATGATTGTCTGTGGGTAGTGCTTGTTCCCCATACATGAATTTTCTAAACCGGCATGTAACCCCTTAATTATATAACTGAATAACTGATCAATATACTGGCTGCAGATGAATCACATGGGAATAAGCAGAAGAAGAAAACGTGTAGTTGTACCATTCCTAGTCTACACTTTACCCATTTTCCATTATCCACACCACTTTACTTTCTGTTTTTTCTTTCTTTGAAAATTTTATTTTAAGTTTTCAGTTGTTTTTTTGTTTTTCTTTGTAGAAAGAACATAGTATTATAAAGATAGACACGCAGGTCTGGCATGGTATAGTAGGGTAGAACTTTGGGTGACAATAATATATGTTGAAACAGTGTAAATAAGCGTGCCAGGTAGTGCACATGTGCGGACAGAGACCAATGAGCAATACATTGTTTTAGATTCTAGCGTGTTGTCAACAAGTACACATTAACCAAGCTCTCAAGTGAAGTTGTGCGTGCTCCCAACACCCCGGAGGTGTGTTGCTACCGGCATTATTTTATATGAACGTTTTCAGTTTCAACATAGTAGGCTCCCATCTCTTTTCCATCACACAGATGTGGTGTACCAGCTTTGTCACGGCTCCCAGTACGCACTCAGATGTGGTCTGCTACTGCTATATTGTGTCACCCGAATTATCTATAGTGTTTGGATCCCCATGGTAGTGTAAAGTGCTTTTAGTTGAGCCATAGTGTCTCTTAGAGATAGAAGTGGATCGATGAGGACCATAAGGAGAGAGTGGATTAATTGGAAAGGAGTGTAAAAAAATCAATTCATTAATTAATTTTAAAAATTGTGGATGAGTTGGGGATGGGGTAATTTCAAATGCATCTTGCAACTGGTGCGTCTTTAGGCAAGCACTGTGTAGGCCGGCGGTTATAATAGAGGAGGGCGAGTTTGTGTGTCTTCTCCTATGGGTCACGTCCTCAATCTTTAAGTTCCCAGCGTTCCCTATTCCCGTCATTGGCTTTGTTAGTCCCAAGCCAATGGTTCATTTAGCCATGTAAATGAACCATAGCCGCCAGCATTCCCAGTGTTTGTCACTAAGGCCTTGTAGTGCCACCTGGGTTGTGACTGCTGCCTGTATGTCCTCCACTCGTCCCAGCCATTGTTCCTTTGTTGGTATCTCCATTAATTTCCAGAGGGCAGGTATCAGGGACCGTGCTGCATTAAGGTGTGTCTCTGAATGGACTTTCTGTATGTTGAGATCGGAGCTGGGGTAAGGTGTAGCAGTGCTTGTTCCGCGGTAAGTTGGTGTGGTTTTCCAAAGACATTCGACAAAGCCTTCTTAATTATTCCCCAGAATGGTATGATTTTGGGGCAACTCCATCAAATATGTTCGGTCTACCTCTCGTTAGTGCCACATCTCCAACAAGTCGCGGGTGTGTTTGGAAATATTCGATGTATGGTGGTGGGTGTATGGTACCACATTGAGAGTAGTTTATAGTTGGTTTCTTGATACCTTGAGCTAATTGAGCTCTTGTGGTTTAAGATTAAGACTTTCTCCCATTGTGTACTTTCTGTTTTTTCATGTTTTAATTTTAGTTTACTTCATGGTATTGCATTTTTTTTTTAATAATTCTTTTTTTTTTTTGTGCATATGATTATAAATGAGCCTGTATTGCCAATTCTTTTTTTTTTTGGGTTGTGCATATGATTATAAATGAGCCTGTATTGCCACAACAGCCTTAACAAGCTTAACAACATCATACATTGTGAAATAATAGCATGGCAAGTGGAGGAACTGCACATTTTTAAAATTGACTTGAGAAAACTGTTGAGTATTAACATGCGCAGTAAAGTTGTGAGAATAACAATCACATTGTAAACTTATAATGGAGTATGGACTACGTCACAGGTGCTTGAGAAGGAAAACTATGCCTGATGACAACCAAAATAGTGGAACCCTCTGTGAAAAATGCTGAATGTAATTGAAATTAAAATAGGAACTAAATAAAAACAAATGAAGCGTGTCAGCTCAAAGAGAGATACGTGGGCTAAATCCTATTAATTGAGCTGGTTTGTGGGGATCTCAGTAGAATATGTGAACACCCCAGGGCCCCCACAGCAGGTGGTTGACTTGCAATGCGCCAGGGAGACATCAAATGTATGTTATGAACAACTTTGGCTTGGAGCATATATTGTAAAGCATGCCGAACTAGTGCAAAATTTGTGAAGGCAGAGTATAATGGAGGCCTGAATATAATGGGGAGAACCTCCGTTGGAATTCCAGTCAGCCGATGCCCTCTAGGGCGGTGCATGCTGTGAACCAGCTGCCTCGACGGGCTTAAGGGCAGGTGCTCAGGGGCTGATGAGTGTTGGCTGATTCTGGCTGATTCTCGGAGCCGAGACCCTACGTCGGATCTTGACTGCCAGCTACCGTTGTAGGAATACTGTTTGTTCCTACTGAGTAGGCAGATGGTTGGCCAGCTTCTGCAACTAGGGCCAGTGCCTCCGTTAGGCAAACTAGGCATTCGACCTAGGGCGCCGGCCTGCTGGGGGCACCCACTGGTATATTTCCTGCTGGGCTTCCACTGTCTTGAGCCGCAGCGCTGGGCAAGAGTCTCTAGAGCCGCCTGTAGGGGGGGCCTGGAGGTGGCCATATGGTATCAGGTATCAGATATCAGCGTGCCCTCTGTGATGCCGGGAGCTGAAATATAGGGCTCCAAGTGCCCAAACTGCCAACACAACAACTTACACATCTATAGGGCTCCCAGTGCCAGGATTGCCAACACAACCACTTACACATCTATAGGGCTCCCAGTGCCCAGACTGCCACCACAACTACTTACACATCTATAGGGCTCCTGCCTCCCAGTGCCAGGACTGTCACCACAACCACTTACACATTTATAGGGCTCCAGCCTCCCAGTGCCAGAACTGCCACCACAACCACTTACACATCTGTAGGGCTCCCACCTCCCAGTGCCAGGACTGGCACCACAACCACTTACACATCTAAAGGACTCCTAGTGCCCCGACTGCCACCACAACCACTTATACATCTTTAGGGCTCCCAGTGTCCGAACTGCCACCACAACCACTTACACATCAATAGCTCCCAGTGCCAGGAATAAGCTTATTGGTCAAGATTCCTGTCATCATTCACGTAATTTTACCTCCCTCTCTCTTGTTTTGCCACTTTTCAGACATCCGAAGCACTTCAGAACTTAGGCACTTCAGTTCGGAACTTCGGACATTCGTAAGCATCTGAATGTCCGAATTGCACAAAATTTGTCTGAATGTACATTCGGAACAAAACGTATTGCACATCTCTACTAAAATGTATTAGTGATATTATGTGGATTGTGGCACTCTTACTGCAACCTTTACAGCCTAATGCTAGGATTTTGGATTCATTATAAAAACTTTTAGGAAGTCAGTGATAGGGATGGGACTTGAGAGGAGCACTGGTATTCAATATGAATTGCAAAGGGGCAAGCTGAGCATGAGTAACACCGATAAGGAGTGGGTTGCAGAAGTCAAGGTGAGAGTTAAGGAGTGAATATGCTTTTTACTTGAATCGGTCATTAGGAAGAGGGGGATATGAGTTATGTTTTTAAGGCAAAATTAGTAAAATCTGAAGATGGATTCTCTAATTTTTATTTCGCTCCTCACACGATGATAGATTGGGTTTGTACATTCACAGTGGATAGAATACTTGAGATTGAGATGATTAAATACTTTAAAATAAGAGGATCAATGGAAATGATTTATTAGGAGAGATCATTTTTTAAAATTGCACCGTTCTTTGGGGGCAGGAACAGGACATGTGTGTTTCAATCTTACAAATGACGGTACTGAAATGATAGGTTTACATCTGAAGATTGTCTGATTCACGTCCTGTAAAATAAAAAATATATATATTAAAAGGATTAACACCAACATGTGCATGATACATATATTCCTTTTGTTTATTTGTTCTGCTCTGTCAAGTGTTTTTCTTTTAGAAATGAATGATCTAATGAGTAGTTTGGAAACAAAAAAGGAATGTGGTATGTAACAGAGCAGCTTTGTGACTCATCGTTTACACGTGTTATATAATTTAATATACCATTCCTTGTTTATATGATTAGCAGCGATGCTCACTAGTAATGTTATAACAACTGTACTTGCGCAATGCCTATGTGTGTGTATATGTATGTAGATAGAGAGAGAGGGGGAGGGAGAATACATAATAGTGAATTGTGTATTATGGGAATATAATGCCTTGGAGAGGTTCTTAGAGATCATTATAAACCATGTCTACAGAACCCAGAGATGGCATTGCTTAATAATACACTCTTGAAGCAGCAAAACTACTAAAGCTTAAAGGACCACTATAGTGCCAGGAAAACAAACTCGTTTTCCTGGCACTATAGTATTAATAGGTCCCACCCTCATGGCCCCCCTCCCGCCGGGCTGAAGGGAGAGGAAAGGGTCAAATCACTTATCTTTCTCCAGCGCCGGGTTCCCTCGGCGCTGGGAACTCTCCTTCTCCTTCGGACGTCAACGGCTGAATGCGCGCACATTCAGTCAGTCCATAGGAAAGCATTTCTCAATGCTTTCCTATGGACAGTAGTATCTTCTCACTGTGAAAATCACAGTTAGAAGTGCAGAAGCGCCTCTAGCGGCTGTCAATGAGACAGCCACTAGAGGCTGGATTAAAGGACCACTATAGTGCCAGGAAAACATACTCGTTTTCCTGGCACTATAGTGCCCTGAGGGTGCCCCCACCCTCAGGGACCCCCTCCCGCCCGGCTCTGGAAGGGGGAAAGGGGTAAAACTTACCTTTTTCCAGCGCTGGGCGGAGAGCTCTCCTCCTTCTCTCCTCCTCCGTTCCTCCTCCTGGGCAGAATGCGCACGCGCGGCAAGAGCTGCGCGCGCATTCAGCCGGTCGCATAGGAAAGCATTTACAATGCTTTATATGGACGCTGTGCTCTCTCTGTGTGTCACAGTGAGAACACAAGCAGCTCTAGTGGCTGTCAATGAGACAGCCACTAGAGGCTTTGGGGGAAGGCTTAACCCATTAAAAAATGGGTTAACCCTAGCTGGACCTGGCACCCAGACCACTTCATTAAGCTGAAGTGGTCTGGGTGCCTAGAGTGGTCCTTTAACCCATATGTAAACATAGCAGTTTCTCTGAAAGTGCTATGTTTACAGCTGCAGGGTTAACCCTAGATGGACCTGGCACCCAGAACACTTCATTAAGCTGAAGTGGTCTGGGTGCCTATAGTGGTCCTTTAATATGGGGTCTCAGTGTCTAGATCACAGACAGGCAACTCCAGATGTTGTGGACTATATCTCCCCTGATGATTTGGCAGCATTATGGCTGTAAGAGCATTATGGGAGATGTAATCCACAACATCTGAAGTTACAAAGTTTGCCTACCTCTTGCCTAGATGACTGCCATTGATGTCTGACAAATGTAAACATTTCCATTTCTGAGAAACGACAATGTTTCTATTTGTCAGAAATTATGCCTCTAATATCTGTCAACCAGAAAGCCATTAGAGACAGTTCCCAGGGAAGACTTTAATCAATTGAAAGGTGTTTGACGTTCAGCGTCATGAAGCTCAACATGTTAACAAGGAATGCAGCCAATTTTGTTCATTAAAAAAAACATTGGATAATGCTGCTCTATGAAGAGTATCTTATCGAAGCAACACAACAACTTTGTTGCATGTGACATAGGGCCACAATGCTTCTTCTAAACAGTCTGAAAAATAGCAATATGTTTAGGTACATTAAAACTACAGATACAACAATACAAAAAAAGATGTGATAATGATCTAGTTTGATCCGAGTCTGTTGCTCTGTTTACCGTACTATTTGTATGGACTACTGACAATATACACAGGCTACTAGCCTTGCATTTCTGCTGTGAGTTCAAACTTCACTTTCATTACCTGCCTCCTAGTTCCTGTTCCAGTGTGTGCTGTCATACCATTATAGCAGGATATGTTCCAGGGGCCACTATGTACCACGTAGAGCTCAGCCCAAAGGGACAAGTGGCACTTAGGGTAGCAGTACATGAACAATTTTACAAGGTCAATAGAACTCAGGACATTGAGACATTGAGACAAAATTAAACATTGAGAACAAGAGAGAAATAGTGGTGATGTATTCCATTACATGAGCACAATGAAGCGGGCTTAGGCCCCATGCAGGCCCGGACTGGCCATCGGGCACACCGGGCAAATGCCCGGTGGGCCGCGGTGGCCATGGGCCGAGGCCGGCAGGGGAGGTCCCAGGATCTCCCCTGCCGGTCTATGCAGGGCCGGCACTCTCCTAGCGCCGGCCCCGCTGTTTGCCACGACGGGCCGGTGGGGAGATCAAGGATCTCCCTGACCGGCCCACATGCGGCCGCCGGCGGGGAGAGGGAGACAGCCAGCCAGGCTGGAGAGAGGACCCGGCGGAGCTCTAACTTGCAGCTCCGCCGGGTTCCTCTCGCGAGATCCGGCGCGTTGCCATGGCAACAACCGGATCTCGCGAGAGTGAACTCTAGCCTCACAGGCTAGAGTTCACTCACCCACGAGGACCACCAGGGAACACCGCGTGCCGGACTCCCCCTCCCAGTCCCAGCGTGCCGGTCCCCCCCTCCCTTCCAGGCTAAAGGTAAGAAGGGGGGGGGGAATAATGCCTGTTTTTTTTATTTTTTTTATTTACCCCCCCCTACACACACACACACACAATAACATTTATACAGCACTCTCACACCCATCACACACAGCACTCTCTCCCACAGCACTCTCACACCCATCACACACAGCACTCTCTCACACAGCACTCACCCATCACACACAGCACTCTCTCACACATTCACACACACAGCACACACAGCACTCTCACACAGCACTCTCACCCATCACACACAGCACTCACACACATTACACACAGCACTCTCACACACAGCACTCTCACCCATCACACACAGCACTCTCACCACACCCATCACACACAGCACTCTCACACACCCATCACACACAGCACTCTCCCACACTCACACAGCACTCTCACACCCATCACATACAGGAGCCGACTGGCCATCGGGCACACCGGGCAAATGCCCGGTGGGCCGCGGTGGCCATGGGCGAGGCCGGCAGGGGAGGTCCCAGGATCTCCCCTGCCGGTCTATGCAGGGCCGGCACTCTCCCAGCGCCGGCCCCGCTTTGTGCCACGACGGGCCGGTGGGGAGATCAAGGATCTCCCTGACCGGCCCACATGCGGCCGCCGGCGGGGAGGAGGAGAGCCAGCCAGGCTGGAGAGAGGACCCGGCGGAGCTCTAACTTGCAGCTCCGCCGGGTTCCTCTCGCGAGATCCGGCGCGTTGCCATGGCAACGACCGGATCTCGCGAGAGTGAACTCTAGCCTCACAGGCTAGAGTTCACTCACCCACGAGGACCACCAGGGAACACCGCGTGCCGGACCCCCCCTCCCAGTCCCAGCGTGCCGGTCCCCCCCCCTCCCTTCCAGGCTAAAGGTAAGAAGGGGGGGGAGGGGGAATAATGCCTGTTTTTTTTATTTTTTTATTTACCCCCCCCTACACACACACACAATAACATTTATACAGCACTCTCACACCCATCACACACAGCACTCTCTCCCACAGCACTCTCACCCATCACACACAGCACTCTCACACACATTACACACAGCACTCTCACACACAGCACTCTCACCCATCACACACAGCACTCTCACCCATCACACACAGCACTCTCACACACATTACACACAGCACTCTCTCACACAGCACTCTCACACCCATCACACACAGCACTCTCTCACACAGCACTCTCACACCCATCACACACAGCACTATCACACACAGCACTATCACACACAGCACTATCACACACAGCACTATCACACACAGCACTCACACCCAGCACTCTCTTACCCATCACACACAGCACTCTCACACCCAGCACTCTCACACCATCACACACAGCGCACTCTCACAGAGCACTCACACACACACAGCACTCTCACACCCATCACACACAGCACTCTCACAGAGCACTCTCTCACACCCATCTCACACAGCACTCTCACACCCATCACTCACACACGGCACTCTCACACATCACACACACACACACGGCACTCTCACACACATCGCACCCTCACACACACACATACACCGCACCCTCACACACACACAGAACCCCCCCAACACACTGCACCACACACATACACAATACTTCCAAATATATAAATATATATCTATATACATACACACACACACACACACACACACACACATACATACATATACATACACACACTACACTCTTAAAGGACCACTCTAGCCACCCAGACCACTTCAGCTTAATGAAGTGGTCTTGGTGCCAGGTCCTTCTAGGGTTAACCCATTGTTTTATAAACATAGCAGTTTCAGAGAAACTGCTATGTTTATCAATGGGTTAAGCCTTCCCCCAAAGCCTCTAGCAGCTGTCTCATTGACAGCCGCTAGAGGCGCTTGCGTGCTTTTCACTGTGAAAATCACAGTGAGAGCACGCAAGCGTCCATAGGAAAGCATTATAAATGCTTTCCTATGCGACCGGCTGAATGCGCGCGCAGCTCTTGCCGCGCGTGCGCATTCAGCCGACGGGGCGGATCGGAGGAGGAGAGCTCCCCGCCCGGCGCTGGAAAAAGGTAAGTTTTAACCCCTTTCCAGAGCCGGGCGGGAGGGGGTTCCTGAGCCACATATGCATCACATTACACCACAAACACAACACGACTAAAACCGACCTTATTACACAATACCACACCACGACCAGCTCACTCTACACACACGCAATACCACAAGCAGGCTCCAAACACATGCACAATACTCTTTCCTGGCCTTTTGTCTCCTGGTATCCATTTATAGAGACACCAGAGACAAGTTGCAAGGAAACACAGTGCAAGCATGTTATTAAATTTGCTTGCACTGTGCAGAACAAATACAGGACTTTTTTCTCATGCTAGAGCTCTTCAGCAGAGCTCTGCGCATGGTCTGCCCTGGAAGAGCATTGAACCAACATGCTCACTTTGAGAGGAGGCGTGTTTGTCATTGGTGATGACAAAACACACCTCCTCTGCCCCGCCCCCTTTTTAGTGGGCCGCTGTGTTAAAAAAATGCCCGGGCCGAATTTTTCTCCCAGTCCGGCCCTGGCCCCATGTATCACTAAATGGTTACCCTGGTTGTCATTAAGTTTACAATGCCCTACCTGACATTATTAACTATGTCCCCCTTATAATGCTGAAAATAAAGAACAACTTACCTGGAAACTGGCACCGAGGGAAGGTAACCGCACTGGTAAAGGAGGAGACTATATTTAAAAGAAGAACAACTACCACAACAAGAGGACATAGTCTTAAATTAGAGGGACAAAGGTTTAAAAATAATATCAGGGCGTATTACTTTACTGAGAGGGTATTGGATGCATGGAATAGCCTTCCAGCTGAAGTGGTAGAAGTTAACACAGTAAAGGAGTTTAAGCATGCGTGGGATGGGCATAAGGCTATCCTAACTATTAGATAAGGCCAGGGACTAATGAAAGTATTTAGAAAATTGGGCAGACTAGATGGGCCGAATGGTTCTTATCTGCCGTCACATTCTATGTTTCTATGTTTCCATGACCCGTCACCCCTGCCCACTTCTGTCAACTGCTTCCCATATAGAAGCATTTAATTGGACCTTTCTAGCTGCTCAGAACGTGTGTGCATGCTCTTAGCTGGGGAGGGACGGTATTTTTTATTATTATTTTTCTAAATCTGATTGCTATCAATGCATGAAAGCGGGGAAGGAGTACACAGAGGAGAGGGAGACTTATGTCTGTTGCCAGAGATTTGTGCGCACCAACAACAGAAGTAATTATTGCATAGAATTAATACTAGGAAGGATTCCTAAGTCTCTTGTGCAGGGGGTGTAACTAGCACTTGACACAAACGTGCAAACATCTCTGAATGTGCATCATTTTAAGCAGAAACTCTGCACATACAATCTTTGACCACCATGACCACTTCTAGAAGCCGAAGAGGTCATGGTCGTTGGAGTAGTCCTTTAAGTGAGGAGTCACAATAAAAGTTCTAGTGCATATATACAGGAACATACACAGCATAAATTTTCTATGAGGTCACATAAAATGGTTGTGTGTTCCCATGTTAATATCCAACAATGAGCTCATAGAAGAGCCTTTGGCAAATCTTAAAGTAGTATCTAAAGGGAGAATAGGCGAGTGTTTGACAGAAACTAGAATAATACTAGATGAATAGGTAGAGGGAGGGAGAACGCACTTATAAGCAAGAACACTGGGGAGAAACCCATATCAATGCTGGAGAGGCAATGAGCCATGATTTGGTATGGCGATAATAAATACTTTTGGCTCTGCCATCTCCATGACATTTCTTCCTGCTTGGAGAACCCACTCTAGATACATCTATGTCACAAACTATCAAATTTAACTGGTGATTGATGACAGTTTCTCTCCAAGCCAGACTATGCTAGGCCGACTGCAGCAAAAATGAGAAAATATGTGCTGTTATCTCAAAACTTCTACACCGTCAATGATAAAAGCAGACTTGCTATCTTATGATTCTTGTCCTGCCAATTGTGTCTGGTATATGAGAACCCTGATAACAAGGATAGCAATAGACCAAGTCCATTGGTTATAGAATGCACATGGATTAGATCCATTGTATTGCATGGCAAAAGTAAAATCAAGCTGCAGAATAAATTCGGGAAAAATATTACATCATGCTCCCAGAATAAATGGGGAGTTGGGAAGAAAAAGATCCACGCATAAGTAGGTGAAAGCTTTTGATGTCCAGGTGTAATCCTTTCCTTAGTGCAAAGTAATTTATGATTGGCTTAGTCCGGCATTAGGCCATACATTGCATCTGAGACCCTTTTCCTAAATCCTGGCCTACCGAAAACAAGAACATGCAACATGTGGAAGTACCTTCAGAACAAGAAAAATTTGCAAAATGTGGATAGGAAGCATTGTAGAGGAAGTTGGGCAATAACATTTTTTTTTAGATAAAAAATATAGATAAAGCTATGCAATTTCATTTTTTTCATGGTTTAATTTTAATATTTTTGTCTACGTGCGCTTTGCTTTCCTTTTTTACTGTTTACAATTGCCTGTGGAATGAACTTTTCACAGTGATTTAACTTTGAAGTTTGTTTAAGTGATAACACTGTTTGGAACAATCATGTTAAGCGCTGAACATTGGCATTTGTGAAACATTTGTTGATTTGACATGTTGCAGTCAGCCAGCAGGTTCTACCAAATGTTGTTGTTATAATAATTACTCATATCTACTTGGAATGGATAAGCTGTTCGGTTCCCTTCGCAAGTTCTGTAGGTGAAACATTTATTACAGTTTGCTTGTGGCTTTAACCCCTTTCCATACAATTTTCCATAATAATCTTTTAACTGTAACAGCCCTGACGTCCTCCGAGCAATGGTGACCACTATGATTCTGGGAATAGTAAAATAAAAGGGTTTTTACAGAATTAATTTGGATATATATTACTTCTAGTGATGTCCCGAACGCTTCGCCGAACGCTTCGCCACGGACTCATCATTGAGTAAACTTTGACCCTGTACCTCACAGTCAGCAGACACATTCCAGCCAATCAGCAGCAGACCCTCCCTCCCAGACCCTCCCACCTCCTGGACAGCTCACTAAGAATGCAGCTTCACAATGAATGTAAAATGGATGCTGTCCAGGAGGTGGGAGGGTCTGGAGGGAGGGTCTGCTGCTGATTGGCTGGAATGTGTCTGCTGACTGTGAGGTACAGGGTCAAAGTTTACTCAATGATGAGTCCGCGGCGAACCGTTCGGGACATCACTAATTACTTCTGATAACACGTGATCATTTTAAACTGAAGAATAAGTCAGAAAGGTAATGACACATATGGGATTTGAGTACTTGTCCAAAAAGATCAGTGATAAGAATCAGTGATATATGGAATAATTTACTCACATCTTACATTGGAAGTATTACACGGTTGCTGACATTATATGCATAAGAAACTTCCGTATAGTCAGTGTTATGTTGGTTTCTCTGGCTGAAGACGTGTGAAATCCCACATAAATTCTGGTTTCATTGTGGCGTGTAATCTCTGTTGTGTATGTAGCTATATAATATTACTACTCTAGCTAGTGAAAGATCTCAACACACATCTCTGTGTTGAAGGTGAATACGTTCTCTTACAAATGATGAATATCACATACTACATGTCATTTATTTATTCTGTGTAGTAAAGCATTCTTTATGAGTAACGAATGTCAGAATGTTATTTTTATGTGTCATATTTACTACGTAATAAGATTATACAAGATAACCACAGGCCAGTTAATGCATGTTGCCAAGGTTTGCAATTAACTTTATATAATAGACTTGTGCACAACATAAAAATTTGGTTTGGTTTGTTTTGTTTTAGAGAAAATGAAATTTAGTTCAGGATGTCCAACTTTCCTTTATTTGCCGGTTTGGCTCATCAGAAAAAATTTAATATTCAGGAAAATGATACAGATTAACAAAAAAACTGTGAAAAAGGTTGAATCGGTGTACTGCATATATATATATATATATATACAAATATATATATATATATATATATATATATATATATAAATATATATATATATATATATATATATATAATGTAAATATTAGTAATATACTTTACAGCACATTTTCCGCCATTTGATTCACAAATCAAGTGAGAAAAAGTAGCCAACAGAGGGAGAAAAGGAGGTGAAGTAAAAAAATAAATCTATATTTATATCAAGTTATCAAATAGTGAATATATAAATATCTCAATACACCACTCTTACTGCTGCTCACTTGGGTCCCCTCTCTTTGTCACTTCTCATTTAATCTATTAATAAAATCAACATTTAGCGGCTGTCCTCTATCAATCCTTCTTTTTTCCCCATCAGGCATCTCTTTTTGTTTGGCGCTATGGGTGGAGCTCGGAATCCTGAATCAAACGAACTTGTCCATTGCTCTAATCTTTTGTTCATGTGTACGCCCATATGGCTCTTTGGAAATACATAATTTGGATGAATTACACTTTGATTGAAACCAAATGCACAAAGTCTAATATATAATTGTTAATTAAACTAAATGTAATTATAGAATACTTTTTTAATATATACGTTATCTGTTACAAAAGCCTAAGTTAAGCCCAGCGGAGCAGGGCTTGGTATATTGGCATCAGCTGTTCTGATGATATTTGGAGTATTCCTTTAATATCCTTGTACTTTTGAGGCAATGGGGAAATTAGATCCATCAAGGTAAGTGAGAGGGGGGTAGCGCTGTGGGCACTTGGCCATGCATGTGACAAAATCCCAGAATGTTGTTGTAGTTTTTTTTAATTAATGTTTGTGAATGCAATTTTTTTTTTTTGTGAATATGATTTTTATTCATTTTGTGTATTTAAATTTGCGGTGAGACGCGCAGGTCTCCATTGCATGTTATTATAAAAGGTAACAAATTAGGCTCGCAGGCCCCATCACAGAAGGACTCGCAGGTCCCCATTTTCTGGTATTTACATTTGTTTGGGACTATAAATTAAGTAACGTTTTCATGAACTGAGTGAAAATAATGCTTTGTAATCGTCCTTGAACCAGATTAATCAGTCTTTGATTAGGTGTCAGTGTTTGTAGGCCACCCCTATGGTCCCTGTCCACGGCGTCTCATCGGGCCCTGTGTCCTTAGCTATGTGTCATCGACCGTGGTGGGCTTGTGTTTACCCCCGTTATTACTATCGGTGTTTCCCGTGTTTAACCAGGGGAATGGTGGTATTGCGGGTAAAGGGTACCCTTACCTTGGGCGTGTGGATACTGCATTAGCCGTGTCAATGCTGGGCCTGTCCAGGGTTCCTTCAGGTGTTCGCATGTTTTGGCTTTGGGGTGTCTTCCCGGGCCGGTCTGGATGTAAGTACCAGTTCGTGTTCGTTGATCGTTCCCAAATATGTTTTCCCTTGTCGCTATGGGTGCGGTGGGGATGATTCAGTCAATGATGATGCTCTGGTATTTCGCAGGGGGCAAGAGGGGGGGAATGTGTCTGGGTGGGAAGAAAGGAAGGAGGGGGGGGGGTAGTTCCGTCCAGTTCGTCTGTCGTCCATCTAGCGTCGTCTGTGGTGTGTGTTCTGAGTACTATCTGTCTGTGTCGTGATTCCCGTTAGTGTTAGGCCTGAGTTCTAATTGGAACTCTTCTTTTGCCGTCTCTAGAATCCAGTGCGTCCAGATGCTCATGTAGGTAGTGGGTGTAGTGTTGGCCGTCATGGTCAGTTCCTCTATTGACCTTAGCTCTTCCATTTGGCTAAACCAGGTCGAAAGTGGAGGTGTAACTGTTTGTTTCCAGAATTGGGGGAGCACTCGTTTGGCCACGTTAAGTATTCTAATGGTCATGGATTTTTTGTATTTGGATCGGGGAACTGTTGTGTGGTGTAGGAGCATCGCTGCCGGTTCCAGGGGGGGGGGCGCGTCCGCGAACTTCTCTAGCATTTTGTGTATCCTCTTCCAGTATGGTTGGATCAACGCGCAATCCCACCAGATGTGTTTTGTGGTGCCCACCTCTCTTTCACATCTCCAGCAGAGTCTGGAGTGGTCTGGGTTTACGTGATGAAGGAGATGTGGTGTCCTATACCAATGTGTTAGAAGCTTGTAGGCCGTTTCCTGTGTTTTGCTGTGAGTGGAACAGTGGTGTGTAAGGTAGCAGATGGTTTCCCATTCTGCTTCCGTTAGTGTGTTACCCAGGGCTGTTTCCCATTTTCCCATGAATAGTGGTGTCTCGGACGGGGTTTCTGATTGGAGCATGGAATATAAGAAGGACACTCCATGCGGGAGCGGGTCTGGGTGTGAGCTGACCACTTCTATCGTGGTCTGGTCTCTGGCCAGTGCTGGTCCCTGTGGTAGGGAGTGGATGTAATTGGTCAGTTGGGCATGTCGGAAGCGGTGCATAAAGGTCGGGGGCGTCTCTCCCATCAAGTCCGTTAGTGTTTTACATTTCCCACCTTGAAGGAAGTGGTGTAGGCGTGGGGTACTGTCTGGGAAGATGTGTTTGAGGGTTCCAGGGTCTAGACCCGGCGGGAAGTCCTCGTTGTGTGTCAGGGGCAAGAGGGGGGAGGGGTACGGTGCCATATTCCCTTTCTTTGCGGCCTTCCTCCAAACTCTCATAGTGTGTCTCGTGTATATGGACATGTCACCTCTATCGGTTGTGTCTCGGCCCCAGGGAAGCCCCGAGATCGGTCTGCCTGCTTCTGCCTCTTCCACTGTCTTCCATAGTTTGTGAACTCCGTCTTTAGACCACTCCATGATTCTCTGCAGGTGTGTGGCTACGTAGTACTGGTGGAAGTCTGGAAGGGCTAGTCCCCCTTTGTCTTTAGGACGTGTCAGTGTGGAAAATTTCACTCTGGGCCTCCTCCCGTTCCATACGTATTTTATCATTTCTTTTCTGAGTGTGTTAAAGAAGGGGCCTGGTATGACAGTGGGGATGGCCTGGAAGAGGTATAAGAGGCGCGGAAGGAAGTTCATTTTTATGACCTGCACTCTCCCGAGCCACGATATGTGCGGGTAGGACCATTCCCTCAAGTCTCGTTGGAACGTGTGTAGTAGTGAATGCAATTTTAAACTCAGAATCATGATAGGTTTTTTTTTTCTGCTACAGTGTTGGAATGCTTTATGATAACAACGTTCCAGATGGATGTGCACAACATTTGAAATGAACAATTGTCACGCATGGTTCTAATTTAGAAGTAGAGGCCAGCAAAAAAAAAAAAAAAAGATAATGGGACAATAAGATATTTATATTCCCAGAGTTAAATGAAATGACCTTTATTATTGATACAAATAGCTATCAGCAGATTACAAGTAATACAAACCGTAATGACCAATAATACACAATTAGATATGTATTGGTGTTAAATAAAACAACTTAAATAACCTAGAGATATTTTTGGTCAAGAACATTTGCTTTTCCTGAAATTTAAAGGGACAATTTAAGCACTACCATTTGCATAAGCTAATAAACATGAACTCTACAGTTCAATATAGTATATTGTAAGTGTATAGTAGACTTATAGTGCTGTCCCTCAATTTTTTAGTTTATTTTTTGCTTTTCTTTTTTTTGTCAAATTGTTTTGGAATGGTTTGACGTAAACGCCCCCTCCCCCCAAAACAACAAAGATGGTTTCCATGGCACCCAGAGTGATCCTATCCAGTAAATTGAGCTGTAGTGGTTTTGGTGCTTGGAGTGCACCCTTAAGTTTTTCATTGTCATGTTCTTTAAAATGTCTTATGATAAGAACTTTTATTTCACTCTCTAAAACAAGCACGGGCCGCACGGACACACACACACATATTCACTGACAGTCAGACACATACACACATACTCACTGACAGACAGACACACACATACAGACACAAACACATACTCACAGACACACACATACAGACACTCACTCACTGACACACACACACACATACTCACAGACATACACATACAGGCAAACACTCACTGACAGACACACACACACATACTTGCTGACAGACACACATACTCACTGACAGACAGACACACACATACAGACACACACACATACTCACAGACACACACATACAGACACACACTCACTGACAGACACACACACACCATAACACAGACAGACCGTGACACAGACAGACACGCATTACATGACAGACACACACACACAATGACACAGATACACATTGCATGACACAGACAGACACACACACCATGACAGAGACACACACACCATGACACACACACACACACACACATACTCACAGACACACACATACAGGCACACACTCACTGACAGACACACACACACACACATACTTGCTGACAGACACACATACTCACTGACAGACAGACACACACATACAGACACACACATACAGACACACACTCACTGACAGACACACACACACCATAACACAGACAGACCATGACACAGACAGACACGCATTATATGACAGACACACACACACAATGACACAGACACACACACCATGACAGAGACACACACACACCATGACACACACACACACACCATGACAAACACACACACACACACACATACTCACAGACATACACATACAGGCACACACTCACTGACAGACACACACACACATACTTGCTGACAGACACACATACTTGCTGACAGACACACATACTCACTGACAGACAGACACACACATACAGACACACACACATACTCACAGACACACACATACAGGCACACACTCACTGACAGACACACACACATACTCACTAAAACACACACACACATACTTGCTGACAGACACACATACTCACTGACAGACACACACACTGACTGACCGACAGACAGACACACTTACTGACACAGACAAACTCACACACACATACTTTTCTGTATTGCTTCTTGCCTTATGGAGCCAATGTGGGGCATCTCCCTGGGGTCCTTCCTGCTCCTCACTGCTCCCGTGCGCGGTTTAGTGGTGCCGGAATATGACGTCATATTCTGGCACCCAGCTTCACTTCAGTCAGCGTGCGCAAGGGAGCAGTGAGGAGCAGGAACACTGAGTTCCCTCGCTGCATCCACCGTCCCCTCCTCCCGGCCGGGTAAGTGTTAGCAGAGTAGGCACCTGCAATGTGGGGAAAGCAGGTGCCTACTCTGCTATAACATCAGCATGTACTCACGGCTCGCCGGGCCGCAAAGATGGTCATTGTGGGCCGGCCCACGGGCCGAGAGTTTGACATGCTTGCTCTAAAAGAACTGTTACAATAATTTATATATGAGTCCAACATACTCCAATCAATAATAGTTTCAGTAACAGCAGAGCAGCAATGTTGCGCACTCTAAATGTTGATTGTGTGCTGTTTGTGAGACAGGTAATCACTTTGTTTTGTACTAAATCCCTTCATTGTCCTTACATTCCTGAGTAAAAGGTGAACTTTTGATGAGCCACGTGCCTCTGTGTGGCAATCACCAGTTTTTCACAAGAGACTTTCTCTAGAAATGGGAAATGGATGGTGTTTTGTGACATTTCCTGTGATTGTGGAATCCATTTCATACAATAAAATACTTTACCTTAGAAACCAATGACATTGACCTTTTAGATCACAAAAATGCAAGAATACAAGGGTCCTTCATAAATGATTTGTATGACCAAGACATAGCAATATATCTAAGGGTAATATATTTTGACGAAATATATCTAAATTGCAAGCGTTTATACGAAAACATTTCATGGTTGACAATTTTCAGAACAGAGATGTTTCAACAAAATGTGTGTCTTCATTTGTGTGTATGTGTAAATCTGTCTGTCTGCCTGCCAGCCTGTCTGTGTATAAGTAACATGTATGTTAGGTAAATGTGTGTATGTCGAAGGAAGGCCTTTGTTGGTCTGTGTTCCTAGGTCAGGGATTCTGAGTCTGACATACTGCCCAATTATCCCTATTTAGGAGGGACAGTCCCTATTTTTGACACAAATCCATCTGTCACTATTTTCTATCCTAATTTCCCTCTTTTTCTAGAAGCTCCATATTGTTGGTATGTCTGAGGGTATAACAGACCTAAACAGCAATACCACTAAAATGGATGTACCTTTAAAATACAATAAAGGTATGTATACATCAGTCTGTGTAAATAAGATACATTGTTCTTGTTCTAAATTACATTGTAGTTGCATAAATTGCTATTACCAGGTCACCTAATACTTCCACTCACACCCTTAAAATTAAAGTGTCCTATTTGAAATGTTGGGAGGTGTGGATTCTCGGATTGTTGTGACATCACATGCCAGCTATGGATCCCATAATTATTTCAAATAAAGCGTAAGGCTAAATGAACTTGGCAGTGAATAAGTTAAATATAACAAAGGATCAGTCGTAACAGAAAACCTTTGTTTTGCTTGTGTACTTATGGGGTTTTTTTTTTTTGTTAGCAAGTAACGAACATGTTACAAAATCAATGTTAAGCCAGTAAATAAGTAACTCTCTTTGTGCTATAATAAGGGATCGAAGCAATGGCACATACTTTAGATAAAGTCTTAGTTATTCCACATAAGGCTATTTCAATACTGATATCAGAGTAATGCAGACCTGCTATTTTACTAGCAGACCATTTAGTAGGCAACATAATAATTTTAAAACACAGAAGACTGATCCAGATGGACAAAGGTCTAAGAAGCAGGAAGTGGTTAAATGGCAGCGAGCTAAGAAAATGAAATATTTCCTATTCTGTGTGATATACTTTCTATTGACGCATGGGATGATAATAAAAAAAGGTTACAGCTCTTTTTATTATAAAGGTAGGAAGGTCGTTCCCTTTGCAACGCTCCAATTACGCAGCATGATTAAGCTTTTTTAAAATGAATTTTTCTTCCAATCTGTTTATCCAGACTTGCAGGAAGGAGAGGAAATACAGGAAGTCAAAACAGAAGTCCATTGATAATAATAGGGGAAACAGGCAGAACTGAAATACGTCAGTGCACGGCTGCTGAAAAGGTTATTCCATGGAAATTGGGAATGGGTTTTATTTTTTTTAATTTTTATCCAGAAAGTAACAGAAGGGAATATACATTTTATTTAACCTTTTCATTGCCACGTGTTCATACTGCTTCCTCATACTATATTTACACCCTGCATTCTACATTCATGCCTTACATACACACAGCATTCACTTACACCCTGCATTCTACATTCATATCCTACATACACACAGCATATACTTACACCCTGCATTCTACATTCATGCCCTACATACACACAGCATTCACTTACACCCTGGGTTCTATATTCATGCCCTACATACATACATACAGCATTCACTTACACCCTGCGTTCTACATTCATGCCCTACATACACACAGCATATACTTACACCCTGCACATTCTACATTCATACTCTACATACACACAGCATTCACTTACACCCTGCGTTCTACATTCACCCCCTACATACACACAGCATATACTTACACCCTGCACATTCTACATTCATACTCTACATACACACAGCATTCACTTACACCCTGCACATTCTACGTTCATACTCTACATACACACAGCATTCACTTACACCCTGCATTCTACATTCATGCCCTACATACACACAGCCTCCTCACACAGATTGCCCCCCACACACAAACACATACACTGCCCCCACACACACACTGCCACACACACACACTGTCTCACACACACACACTGCCACTCACACACACTCCGCCACTCATGGCCTGGACCCCTCACACACAGCACCCCTAAGAGTCAGCACCCTTCAAACACACTGCCCCCTAACATACTGCTCCCCTCACACATACTGCATTAGAGGGCTCTATAGTGTAAGGAATACGACTTTGTATTCTTTACACTATAGAATCCCTTTAATCATACTTTTTAAACATTAGTATATATTTGTTAATTGCTTTTAAACCAGCAGAATATTTATTAGGTTTAACTGCATGTTATTTATGAATGTAAAGATAGCTATTGTGGCGAAAGTAACCTCGCCACTGTGTTTTGGAGAGGCCTGCTTGCCAGCCTCTTGCCCTGTAAATATGGCCCCTGGGATGTATTGTCTTTTAAAAATACTATTTCTGCATATTGGGACTTGGCACAATGCCCCTTTCAAACATGTGGCGGCGACCATCTTAAAATGTCCAGCAGTGTTTTGTCGTTGACTGTATGGAACTGTTTTGGGCATGGGACCATGTGCACAGTGGGCAAAAATAAGACTTCCAGGAAATTCCTGAACCCCTGAATCGATCTGGGTGATTTTTGGATATGTTGTTCACCCAGATCGGGGCTATCAGGGGAAGTGACTTGTGATATGTTGTATTTTGGGGTACATTTGGGGGTTTGTAAAAATGTATGTTTTTTTCTGTTTCGAGTTAATTGAGTTAGCTCATTGTCTTTGGTAATTGTATCACAGGCAGAGGGGAGGGTTTGTGTACATTAGCTGGGAGTGTCTAACTGTACAATACTGTTTTGATTGGTTTTGTGACCTTGTGTCTTGTGCTCCACAAGGTCCACCTGGGTGGTAACCTTGTGGGGAAAACTGTATAAAAGACAATAAGCCCTCAGATCTGCTGAGTTCCTGTTTTACCCTCAACACAGAGCCTCGTCTCATGTGTGGGGGGAAAAGGCTGCATCTACACTGGGGGATGGCTATACTCTGTATACTCCCCTGGGATATAATCACTAAGCTCTTTTAAGAGCTTGTTCCTGCTACTCTCTCTTGGACGAGAGATTCACCCACTGGAACCTGGAGCCTAGTCGTAGGTCCGGGGTGGGTAGAGGACGGTGAGTTCCCAGCCAAGCAGCGGCAGTTCATGGGATCTGCAGTGCTTATGGTGTCTGGTGCGGTGCTGATGGTCCTTGGTAAGCACTAGGATCATCGATTGACAGAGGGTCCATCACAGCTATATTCTATCTAGAAAGGTATGTAACCTGTTAAGTGCTCTAGTTGTAATTATTGCATTGATCCTTCTTGCCCTGAACACCTGAGGGCCAATGGCACAGTCACCATGGATGAATTAATAGTTCACAGGCCTACATTGTCACTTGCCAAAAGCTAGTGACAAGTAGAAATTGTGAGCACGGTATACATAGATGTTGTTTTTTTGTTGTGGTTGCAACACTTGGGCGCAATGTTCATGTGTTCATTAGCCTATCTATCTAATCTATCTGTATAGTGAAAACACGCAGACAAGGAAATTAAATCGGCATGAGGCAAACACACAGTACAGGATATCCTATGTCAATAGGCCAGTGGCTGACTGTTCTCTTAACAGCATGATGGGTAGGATAAGAAGGATGTGAGTGAACAAACTAGAAAATAACTTGTATACTTTATTAACCCCATTAGTGACCAGACCATTTTTCAATTTTCTTACCATTAAAGGAACACTGTAGGGTCAGAAACACAACCATGTATTCCTGACCCTATAGTGCTAAACTCAACATTAAGGTGGCTTACCCCCTTAAAAGCAATTAAAACTCCCCTTATTTCAAGTTTCTTGCAGGGCTGCCGGTGCTAGCTCTGCCCCTGGTGACATCATCAGGATTGCCCATGGGAAAGCATTGGATTGGCTGAAATCAGCATGGGGCGTGGCCAAACATTGTTTTGGCCAATCAGCCCCTCCTCATAGAGATGCATTAAATCAATGCATCTCTATGAGGAAAATTCAGCGTCCCCATGCAGAGCGTGGAGACGCTGAATGGCAGTGCTGCCTACTGTGCAGCACTGAGCCAGGAAGCACCTCCAACTACATTAAGCTGTAGTTGTTCTGGTGACTATAGTCTCCCTTTAACCGGCCTGTTTTGGCCATGTTGTACGTTAAGGACCAGAGCGGTCTTAACACTTTTGTGCTGTTTGTGTTTAGCTGTAATCCGCTCTCTCATTTACGGTTCCCATACAAATTATATATTGTTTTTTTCAGGACAAGAGGGGCTTTCTTTACATACCATTATTTGTATCATGTCATGTATTACGTCATATATTACTTAAAAAAATAAATAAAAAATATGGTGAAATTTTTAAAAAAAAAACATGTTTTTGGTCTTTTACTTGAAAAATCTTTTACTTATCTACAAAAGCTAATGAAAAAAACTGCTAAATAGATTCAAAATTTTGTCCTGAATTTAAAAACACCCAGTGTTTACATGCTTTTTTTTTTGCAAGTTATAGGGCTATAAGTACAAGTAGGAAATTGCTCTTTCAATATATATATATATTTTACATTTATCAATAGTGACATTGTAACACTGTTATCTGTCATAAATCTCTGAAAAACACCCCACATCTATATTTTTTTTTTAAAGTAGATAACCCAGGGTATTCAATATGGGGTATGTCAAGTCTTTTTGAGTAGCCACTTAGTCACAAACACTGGCCAAAGTTAGCATTTATATTTGTTTGTGTGTTAAAAATGCAAAAAACGCTAGCTTAGTTTGTGACTAAGTGGCTACTAAAAAAGGTTGAACATACCCCATTTGCAATACCTTGGGTTGTTTTCTTTTGCAAATGGTATGCCATCATGGGGGTAATTCTCATTCATGGGCTACCATACGCTCTCAAAGGAAACATTACCAATCTGACAAATTTCAATGAAAAAAAAAAAAAAAGTAAAATCAAGCCTTATATTTGACCCTGTAACTTTCAAAAGCACTATAAAACCTCTACATGTGGGGTACTGTTATACTCAGGAGACTTCGCTGAACACAAATAATAGTGTTTCAGAACAGTAAAACATATTACAGCAATAATATCAGCAGTGAAAGCGCCGTTTGTGTGTCAAAAATGCAAAAAACGTCACTTTCACTGACAATATCATCTCTGTAATATGTTTTATTGTTTTGAAACACTAATATTTGTGTTCAGCGAAGTCTCCTGGGTAAAACAGTACCCCCCAACTACAGGTTTTAGAAAGTTACAGGGTTAAACACAGTGATGGCAAATTAAATTCTCTGGACGTTCAGCCTGGGTTGTCAGGCATGTCCCTCAAATTGCAATCAATAAAATTATTTAATTATGTAAAAATATTACATAAATATGCACGTAGAATTTAAATATATATACATATTTATATATTTGAAGTCTACGTGTATATTTATGAAATTATTTATGTAATTTTGTATATGGCTATATGTATATTTCGTATTATTTTTATTTATTTATTTATACAAAGATATATATATATCATTTCATTCTAAGTGTATTTTGATATAAATATATATATTAATATTAAAATACCGTTAGAATTAAATTACATATATATATATATATATATATATATAATTTTTGTAAAAATTATTTTTACATTTTTTATTTATTTTTATTTACTAATTATTTATATTTTATAATAATATATATATATACAATATATATAGTTATTATATATATTATATATATATATGTGTGGAATTTAAATATAAGTGTATTTTTCTATTAATATATATATATATATAAATATAAAAATACACTTAGTTTGACATTATGTATATAAGATATATACATATTATATATAGATATAATACATCTATATATATCTTATATATATATACATATATATATATTTTTCTTTTACACTGATTGCTTCTTTTAAACTTTATTTTTGATTTTACCCTTGCAGGGAAACTGCCTGTCAGCACATCCGTGCTAAATAGTTTCAAAGTTTTGTCCCGAGTTTAGAAATACCGAATGTTTACTTGTTCTTAGCTTTTTTATTATTTTTACATTCATTTTTAATTAATTATTATTTATGTTTTATAATAATTTATAGTTGTTATATATATTATATATATGTGTGTACTTTTACTCTAAGTGTATTTTTATATTAATATATGTATATATTAATAAAAATACACTTAGTATGACGTTATATAGATTTAATATATGTGTGTATATATATATATATACCGGTATATATATATATATGCTATATATATACATTTGTGGTCAGGACAATAACAGCCGTAAGTATAATTGATACCTTCTCATACCAGTAGGAGTATGACTAATTAGGTTGGGGTGTGCCGAAACCAACGTATTGGTAGACCTGTAAATAAAGTGGGCCCACCAAGGAAGGTAGATTAAGTGAAATAATAATAATTTTAAAAAGGTAGAGTGGTGGGTGGGACTCAAAACGGAAAGAAAGCCTAGGAGGAGTATAGGGCAGAGGGTGAGTATTTATATCAGCACTGGCCCCTCCCATAATTCCAGGCTCCGCCTTCACAATTGTGGTCAGGACAATAACAGCCGTAAGTATAATTGATACCTTCTCGTACCAGTAGGAGTATGACTAATTAGGTTGAGGTGTGCCGAAACCAACGTATTGGTAGACCTGTAAATAAAGTGGGCAAAAGATGTATGCCAAAAAGATTTATTCCATCAACAATAACTTAATACAACATAACATTATAATGTCAAATGTCTGAAAATTTGTCTGATTTTTCTCTCTGGTTGTGGTATGTATCTACAGTAGGGCTGTAGACTTCCAGCGCCCCAGAGACTTGATAATATGAACGGGTATGTTCCGGTGTGATGCTGCTGAAGCTGCTCCAATACGGAAAGAATGCCCTGAGTAGTGTGAGGGGTTAAGGCCTAGCCTCATCAACAAGATTCTAATATATAGCATGAATTTGCTAGTCGTGAGGATGGTGCCTTGTAAGGTGAGTAACGGGAGATTTGTAGGTGCTTGTAAAGTAGACAGATAGGTATCGAAAGTCTTAACGGGACACCATTTATTAAAGGTTGGATAATAGGGTATTGTGACGGTTTGCCCTGGTTGCATAGTTTTTGTATGTAACAGTGAGAGGAGGAAATTATCTCCCTGTTTAATTAGCTGCCCAACGTAAAGACAGGATCTAGTGTCAGTAGTAAGGATTTTGGTAAACTCTCTGGGCCTAAGGAACCAGTAAAAAGCTAAATATATAGCTACTTTTAAAGTCTAATTTGTTTTGGGTTCGAAAGGAGAGTTATCCAATAGGTCTGATAGTGATCTAAACACATTCCCTGTAATAGGCAGTCTTTGTTGTGCCGGTGTAGTACTGCTCCTCTGAATTCCTTTTAATAATGTCTTAATTTGGTAGGAGGAGAGGAAGGTCTGTTTGTTTGGAAATAAGGTTAACATGTGGTGTTGTAGGCCCTTGAGGTAGAGTTTTATTGTACTGTAAGACAGATGTAAATTCAAGTGGCAAAAAGAGGCAAACGCTACCAAAGTTTCCATAGCGAATACGTCTGCCACCTGGAAGTCTCTTGTGAATTTTACAAAAACATTAAGTGCTCTTTTGTATGTACGCCTGGTGTTTTCGGACAGAGCTCTCTGTAATAGTAATCTGCCATGCTCTAGGAATTGACTCAATCCAATATGAGGTCTTGAAACTGGGGGGCCGGAGCACTGGCGGATCCAGAGTCTTATCTCGGGAGGGGCACTCATAGATTATTTAAAGAAACAATCCAGGCACAGTAACCACTACAGCTCTCTGTAGTGGTTATGGTGCCAGGAGTGCCGTGGTGCCCTCCCAGAGTAAATAGTCAAACGGTTTAAAAACAGGGGATAGAGCCTCTAGTAGTGTGTGTGTGTGTGTGTGTGAGAGTAGGCAGTGTGTGTTTGTGTGTGTGTGTATGGGAGGCACTGAGTGTGTGAAGGATGCAGGGTGGGTATGGGAGACAGTGTGTGAGGGGTGCAGTGTGTGTGTGTGTGTGTATGGGAGGCTGTGCATGTGGGCCAGTATGTGTATAGGGGTGCAGTGGGAGCACTGTGTGTAGGAGGGGCAGTGTGTGTTTGTGTGAGGGGTGTAGTGTGTGCATGGGAGTGCAGTGTGTATATGTGGGGTGCAGTAGAAGCACTGTGTGTATGGGGCCAGTGTGTGTATGAAGGTGTAGTGGGGGCAGTGTGTGTATGGGAGTCCAGTTGGCAGTGTGTGTATGTGGGTGCAGTGCTTGTATGGGGGTGTAGTGTGTGTTGGGGGAGAAGTGTGTGAGGGTGTAATGTGTGTGAGGGTGCAGTGTGTGCAGTGTGTATGTGGGGTGCAGTGTTTGTATGGTGAGCACTGTGTGTATGTGGGATGCAGTGTTTGTATGGGGAGCACTGTGTGTATGTGGAGAAGTGTGTGTGTGGGGTGCATTGTTTGTATGGGGAGCACTGTGTCTATGTGGAGGTGTGTGTGTATGGGGAGCACTGTGTTTATGTGGAGGTGTGTGTGTGTGTGTGTGGGGGGGGTGGTGCAGTGTTTGTATGGGGAGCACTGTATGTGGGGTGCAGTGTTTGTATGGGGAGTACTGTGTGTATGTGGGGTGCATTGTTTGTATGGGGAGCACTGTGTCTATGTGGAGTGTGTGTGTGTGTGGGGGGTGCAGTGTTTGTATGGGGAGCACTGTATGTGGGGTGCAGTGTTTGTATGGGGAGCACTGTGTGAATGTGGGGTGCAGTGTTTGTATGGGGAGCACTGTGTCTATGTGGAGGTGTGTGTGTGTGGAGGGGGGTGCAGTGTTTGTATGGGGAGCACTGTGTGTATGTGGGATGCAGTGTTTGTATGGGGAGCACTGTATGTATGTGGGGTGCATTGTTTGTATGATGAGCACTGTGTCTATGTGGAGGTGTGTGTGTGTGTGGGGGGTGCAGTGTTTGTATGGGGAGCACTGTGTGTATGTGGGGTGCAGTGTTTGTATGGGGAGCACTGTGTGTATGTGAAGAAGTGTGTGTGTGTGTTGGGGCAGTGTGTATGGGGGGCTGTGGGGGCAGTGTGTAGGGGGCTATGGAGGCAGTATGTATGGGGGCATGTGGGAGCAGTTTGTTTGGTGGGGCAGTGGGGGCAGTGTGTATGGGGGACTATGGGGCAGTGTGTATGGGGGGCTATGGGGGCAGTGTGTATGGGGGGCTATGAGGGGCAGTGTGTATGGGGGGCTGTGGGAGCAGTTTGTTTGGTGGGGCTATGGAGGCAGTGTGTATGGGGGGCTATGGGTGCAGTGTGTATGGGGGGCTATGGGGGCAGTGTGTATGGGGGGCTATGGGGGCAGTTTGGTGGGGCAGTGTAAAACAAATGTTTTTTTTAATTAATAAAATATTAATATTAGAGTTCACTCTCGCGAGAACAGAGCGTTGCCGTGGTAATCGCGGCAACGCTCCGTTCTCGCGAGAGGAGACCCGGCGGAGCTGCAGGCTAGAGCTCCTCCCGGGTCTCCTGCCCAGTAATGTGCCTGCGGACCGGTGAGGGAGATCTCTGATCTCCGTGAAGGCACTTAGCAGGGCCGGCGCTTGGATAGCACCGGCCCTGCAGGAGAGAGCATTGGATCTCGGGGGGGGGCAATTGCCCCGTTGCCCCCCCCCTGGATCCGCCACTGGGCCGGAGTTGCTATCAAGGAGGCATAGGGATGGAGTAGGATCACCTGGCACCCCGACTGGGTACCTCCGTTGAAGGATGCTCCTAGCGCTTCCTGAGGACTCCAAGCACTGCAGCAGACACCACAACCACCGAATCGGAGAAGCATATGAATGCTCTCAAGCATATGAATGTTGTATACAGCCGAATAGGAAAAACCATGTGAATAGGTTTACACTCCTAGCAGTCAAACTGGAACAGCATACAATAAATCCTCCCCCAATAATGAGACGACACTTCACTTTGAGGGTTAAGCAGGAACTGACTGGACTGGCACATACAGCCTCTTTTATTCCCAATCCACAAACTTAGTACTGCCCACAGGGTTTTACAGAACAACCAATAACACATACAATACCCTCAGACACTCCCACACAAAATCCTCCCCTCTGCCTGTGATACAATTACCTTACAGAATGGGTAATCTAATTATCACAGACAGAGAAATACAGTTTCATAAAACACATCACAGGGACCCCAGAACATGCAATAACCCCATAAAAACCGGGGGATCTGGGTGAACCACATATCCAAAATTCACCCAGATCCGTTCAGTACTTTGGAAGATACAGTTTAATGCAGATTCTGCAGAACATATACAGGCTAAATGAAAAACAATTACTGTATAATGTGTCCCCTGTTGTATAGTCCAAAACCACTGCACGATGTCTCTGTGCACCAAATACCGGCGAGATGGCACCGTGTTGAAAAGTCCAAACAGTGTCTGTGAGTTAAAATGGCCGCCATCCATTGTTCTCACCATGTGCTTCATCCATTGTTCTCACCATGTGCCTCTGATACAGGAAATGGTGGCCACCCAGTAACTCCACAGTATGTCCCCAGATGGTTCTTAAAGGGCCAGCAGCAGCACAACACAAATCCCTTATGCCCAAATCATGTCTTTAAAGGGCAATACATCCCAGGGGCCATAGTCACATGGCAGGAGGCTGGCAATCAGTCTTCTCCAATGCCCAGTGGCGAGGTCGGTTTCGCCACATTTCTCCCCTTTCCCAAAAAGACTAACAAGGTATCTGACCTCCTGTCGGTCAGTGCCTTGGTTAGTCCAGCAACCCACCCACAAAACATAGTCAGTAGTGCAGCCCACCCACAATGAAAAGTTACTGTACCTGGGGTAGTGGGTAGCTTGTCCATGTCCAGGGGCTCCACCACGGGTCTGGGGAGTACTAGCCCTCCGGATTCGTGGGTTGCTGCGTGGGCAGAGACCAGCAGTACTCTGCCCTGGTGCCAGCGCTACCACAGGAGTAGCCTGGTTGGGGCTCAGCTGAGGAGAAGGGTTAGTAGGCTCCTCCCTCTGGACCTGGTGTTGCTGCTGGAGGGGAAGAAAGGCTGTCTCCCCTTTGGATAAACAGCCCTGCTGCAGAGGGACAGGACCGACCGTCCCTACCCCCTGTGGTTTGGGCACAGAGACCACGGTCCCATCTGCACCGGTGTGGGGCTCATCATCTCCCCTTGGTGGGCTAGGCTGCCGTTGGGGAGGGGGGACAAGGTTCTCCCTCCCAGTAGACGACTCTGCCACTGGGGAGCAGGACCGACTGTCCGTACTCCCTGTAGTTTGGGCGCAGAGACCATGGTACCATCTGCGCTGGTTGGGAACTTAGTGTATCCCCTTGGTGGGCTAAGCTGCCGCTGGGGAGAGGGGGTAACAAGCTTCTCTCCCTTACACACTTTCAGCCGCTGGGGAGGGGAGACACTGCTCTCCACTCCCTGCATTTCACACTGCCGCTGGAGAAAGGAGACACTGCTCTCTATTCCCTGCAAATCACACTGTCGCTGGGTATCTGAGCCGACCGCCCGGCATCCCTGTAGCTCACCCTGCCACTGGGGAGGGAGGACGCTGCTCTCCTCTCCCTGCAAGGTACACTGCCGCTGGGGAGGGGAGACGATGCTCTCCACTCCCTGCACTTCACACTGCCACTGGGGAAAGGAGACACGGCTCTCTATTTCCTGCAAATCAATCTGCTGCTGGGGATCTGGGCTGACCGCCCAGCATCCCTGTAGCTCACCCTGCCACTGGGGAGGAAGGACGCTACTCTCCTCTCCCTGCAAGGTACACTGCCGCTGGGGAGGGGAGACGATGCTCTCCACTCCCTGCACTTCACACTGCCGCTGGGGGTCTGGGCTGACTGCCCAGCATCCCTGTAGGACCGGTAGAGAGACCGCTGTCCCATCTCCACCTGCCATCTGTGGGTCTTCCCAGGACCAGTCTGTGAGGTCTCTCAACATTTGCGAGTAAGGACCACCTGCTTCCGCACCTCGCAACTCCTGCTGCTGCTGGGGATCTGGGCCGTCTGCCCAGCATCCTGGTGGGCCCGGTGGAGAGAACTCTGTCCCATCTCCACCTGCCTGTTGTGGTTCCTCACAGGACCAGTCTATGAGGACCCCTACTTCGGGTGTGACAAGAGTATGAATATAAAGACACGCAGGATGTATATGTTGAACTCACAAAATATAAGTGAATATCAGGCCAATCATCCTTAAAGGACCACTCTAGGCACCCAGACCACTTCATTAAGCGGGTGCCAGGTCCAGCTCGGGTTAACCCATTGTTTTATAAACATAGCAGTTTATCAATGGGTTAAGCCTTCCCCCAAAGCCTCTAGCGGCTGTCTCATTGACAGCCGCTAGAGGCGCTTGCGTGCTTCTCACTGTGTTTTTCACAGTGAGAGCACGCCAGCGTCCATAGGAAAGCATTGATAATGCTTTCCTATGCGACCGGCTGAATGCGCGCGCAGCTCTTGCCGCGCGTGCGCATTCAGCCGAATGGGAGGAACGGAAGAGGATCGGAGGAGGAGAGCTCCCCGCCAAGCGCTGGAAAAAGGTACATTTTTACCCCTTTCCCCCTTCCAGAGCCGGGCGGGAGGGGGTCCCTGAGGGTAGGGGCACCCTCAGGGCACTATAGTGCCAGGAAAACGAGTATGTTTTCCTGGCACTATAGTGGTCCTTTAATCAGAAGTGGTCTTCAGAGTAATAAGGAAAAAGTCTTCTTTAGCACTTGTAAAATAAAGAAACCAAATAATAGTGCAGATGAAATTAAAACTTCAAAGATTTATTACAAGATGCACTTACAAAAGGTCCAGGTAAAAACAGCATATAATCTACTTCAAGGTGGAGATAAGAGTACAGCACGGCAAGTCCCCAATGTTAGAATCCAATGCGTTTCGTCCACTGGATTACCTCAGAGATTGTGATCTCACTCTTCCAGAAGTCTTCGTTTAAATATGCCGCCAGAATATCCAAATGAAATCCACCTGTGGTGTAAATCCGTCGCGTGCCGTTTTCCACTCATGGTTTTCCTTAATCCTCACTAAATTGTACGCACTCCCCATTAGCCCAGTTTAGTGAAGACTTTAGCACCCTGGAGTCTGTCAAACAATTCTGAAATGAGGGGAATGTGGTAGGCATTTTTAATGGTGATTTTGATCAATGCCCTGTAGTCAATGCACGGGCGTAACTAACCATCTTTTTTATGCCACACAAAAAAGAATCCTGCACCAGCAGACGAGGATGATTTACGTATATGGCCCTTACTTCGGGAGTCTTTGATATGCTCCTCCATTCTCCTCTCCTGTGGCGATAAAGCATATACTGCTCCCTTAGGTGGCATAGTGCCAAGTAGTAGGTTTACCTGTGAGGAGGTAAAATATTGGTCTGATTTTTGCTGAATACCTCCTTAACCTCCCAGTATTGTATGGGAACTTTGGGAGTTTGAGGCGTAGTAGTGGGTAATGTAATGGTGTTCACTCTTTTGGTAATGTGTAACATACACCTCTCAGTACAATCCCATTCCAATATTTCCCCATTAGCCCAGTCAATATAAGGATTGTATTTAATAAGCCTAATATGATAGGGCAATAAGGAGATGCAATAACTTGAAATGTTATATCTTCCATATGTAAGGCACCAATGGAAATGTTAATGGGCAAGGTTTCGTGAGTAATTAAGGGTTGAGAGAGTGATCTCCCATCAATAGCCTCAACGGCCAGAGGTGATAATCTCTCCTTGATAGGTATAGCATTTTTTTTTTACAAAATGTACTTTAATGAAGTTTCCTGCCGCACCTGAGCCCATCAAGGCCTTGCATGAAAAGTCCTTCTTGTTACATTTGATAGTAATATCAAGGAGGAACCTATTTTTGTTATTTCCAGAGGACGTATCCATTACACCTAAGACTTGCCCCCTTAAGGTTCTTAGGTGCGGAAGTTTTCCAGACGTCAAGTATTCCTCATATATCCTCTCCTACCGCAGTATATGCATAGGCCCTCTTTTTTCCTATATTGTTTTTCTGCTTCCGACAGTCTAGTGACCCCCAACTGCATGTGTTCGGGTTCGGACTGTGTAGGGAGATCAGGAACAACAGGTCTGGAGAAACGAGGTGCCAATGACAGTCATACGTCTGGTCTTGTTTCTGGATCTAAATCTATTATCAATTTGCATGACAAATGTGATAAACTCAAGTTTCTTGGGTAGATCTTTGGCGGCTATCTCATCCAAAATAGTCTCAGATAATCCTTTCTTAAATGTTGAGATTAATCCGCTGTTAGTCCAGTCTACCTCGGAAGCCAAGGTGCGAAATTCTATGGCATATTCCGAGATAGACTGGTTCACTTGTTTGATATGCATTAGGGCAGTGGAGGCGTCATCCTCCCTGCCCAATGGTTCAAATGTTAATTTAAATTCGGCAAGGAATTCCTGGTAATTGTGTGCAATGCTCCTATTACTCTCCCATAACGGATTGGCCCAGGCTAAAGCTTTACTTTAAGTTGGTTCATCAGGTAACCAATTTTAGCTCTGTCAGTGGGAAAAGATCCTGGTGAGGCCTCAAAATGATACTCAATCTGATTAATGAATCCCCGGCATTCTTGAATACTACCATCAAAATGCAGAGGAGGAGATAGGGAGATAGTTATGTACTATAGGCGGAGGTGAAACAGTTGGGGGACAGTCGTCCATCTTCTCCCGTTAGCAAGCTCAGCCCTCTTCCTCTTTGTTTTTTATCTGCTTTCTGCTTTAAAGAAGCCTACTAATACTATATATATATATATATATATATATGTATTGGACAGACAATGAATTAATCAAAAAAAAAAAATCTTTCTAAAGAATGCTGCCCCACTTGATCTAAGCTATAATGATGCGTTGTATGTTTATTTCATACAATGTGGGATGAAATTAAATTATGCTGTTATGCTGTGTCTAGACATAAACATGATTAGCTTGATTATAGAAAATGTTGGTGAGGTCCATTCAGGCATCAGACAATACAATGCATGTAAACTTTAAATCCTATAAAAGTGTGGGAGGAGAACATAATACACGATTACAAACAACACCCTTTATGACGAATCCTGAGTCATTTAATTACTCTATATGCTTGCTAAAATAAGAACGCAAGAAGAAATGTGAGCTCAGAGTTTACGTTAACTGTGCAGTGTGAACAAAAACTGATTTACTATATCTATATAATGATATTCCTGGTGGGAAATTCACAACATTCTACCAATATATAGGTAGTGCTGGCCATCAGACATCAGCTGATGAACCTTTTAATTAATTTATGATATAAGTTTTCTTTTTGTGAGGTCGGGTGGTGGGGGGTATTCTTTATTTTTGATGTGCATGAATGTAGCAGGCAGTCTCGCATTGCCCCAACGACAAAGGCAAGGCAAGTTATAACACTTTTTTGGGGGGAGGGAAACAAGGGTGGTATATGCTAAAAACATAGATAAAGTATAATAATCAGGCTAGGCACTAGTCTAGACTCATGTAAAATCAAATGTGCATTATTAGCTAAGGCTATCTAGACTAGTAGGTAAAATACAGCCATAAGGCTTGCTTAGAAGTGCCACACAAGAAAACACACACAAGTAGACCCATTTAGGTCATTTATAGAAGAGTGAGAAAAGAATGCAAGGAAATAATGTTATAAACACAAACACAGATGTGGGTGACATAAAAAGGCCAAATAAACTCGGCATGAGGGATAAAGCGTCTTCAACTAGTAGGGTGACTCCCAATAGTAATTGTGGAGCAGCGGAAGGTAGCTAGGCAGCTTTCAGCTGATTCCGGTGCCTGTGAAGTGCACAGACAGTAAGAGGGGGTCTACTTGGGTAGAGGCATTATAGCAGCAAGTTTGGCTCAGTCTTCCAGGAGCCTTTCGCCTGTGTGCACGCCCGCCCACCCTCTCCCTCAGCTGGCTGGCCGACCACCCGCAGGCGCGACAATGCTCTCCCTCAGCAGGCCAGCAGACTGCATGCCCATGCTCTTTCTGTGCTGACCGGCCGACCACACGTAAGCCCATGCTCTTTATGAGCCGGACGGCCGCCTGCACTCATAGGCAGCCGACCACCTCGGGGCTAAATGGACCAACAAATCCCAGGTGCCAGGACAAAATTCCTAGTAGCCATGGTGACCTAGCCCTGCTTTAAATACAGATAACATTAAAACAGAGAGCAGTAACTTTACAAACGACAAAGTTAGAGTTAAAGAACCAATAAAATAAAATGATCAGATTGGTTCACCAGATAATCTACTTCTTGTACTTTCCTTATTTTCAAGTATTTCCTTGGGTATAGAAGTTTTTCATTAACAAACTTATTTTTTTATGATATTAACTTTGGAAAGATGACTACAGTGTTGGTTCTTCTGGGGATAAGACCTGCGTTACTGAAGTCTGAAAAAAAACCAAAAAACAAGAAATTTAGCAGCTGGGGCACTAACCGCTGGTCTTCTTACTGGCATAATACGTGAGTATATACATTCATATAGGTAAACTGTAAAGATGATTAAATTTTCATCTTTTTGAAGGGTCAGTTCTTCCTCTTCTGGAATAACATAAATTTTTAACTCTTTTCTCCGGTAATGAAATTTACAAAGGAAGTCAATACTGGAAGTAAATTAATTAAACTCCTTTAATGCTGAGAGCATTTTGATCAGAATGGCGTGGGTTAAACCCTGGCTGATCTCATGCCAGTCCTTGCACTTTGCCAACAAACGTTCTTTTTCCCTCTGTGTTCACTGTAAGCCAGAGAAACACACTAGACCCTTTGAGTGGTGAAATGACTTTCATTACTGGTTATCTGAGGCCGAATTGTCCTTAATCACTGCTCATTAGCCAGACACCTAGTGCTGCCTTTGAGCGTGGCAGACACGTCCTCCTACTGTAGATCATAGTCCTGCACACTCTGTCACTGACACAGAGGACTATTATTAGCCGCTCCTTAGCTTGAAGAGAAACTACTCAGTTATGCAAATACATTTACACTGAAACATTTGAAACAGTGGACGGGAAATCATTCTCTGTGCCAAGTGTAGAGAAAGTGCTAATCGCATCAGTTTTCATTAAACAATTATTTATTTCAGCGGCGAAAAAAAAAGAAGCTATTTATTAAAATGCACTGGGTAAGGGTTTCTTTTCTTAAAATAAATCAAAGCTGTATTAACTGTACGTAGTGTTTGTTTTTGCGCAGTTATTTCAGGATTATTCTGAAGACGAGTTATATTACGGAAACGGGAATTTGGTCGTCTACCAGCAAATTGTTTTTGTGTGTTTTTGGTAAAGTACGTTTCTCCTGCAGGTCAGCGATTCTTCCCGTGGACCGTACTTGTAAATTGGATTTTATTGAGAAAAAAATTAAGTAATTCAAAGCAAGACAGCGACATAATTAATACAGAGCGTGAGTGCTATAGACAGCTATACAGAGATATCAAGGATGATAACAGTGACATAGGAGCAACTGGATTACTGAAAAGAAGCAACATGTATAGTGTGAACAGAAATCGGTCATATTGTATGTCTACCAAGTGTTCTATAAGATAGGGCTCAATGGAGGAGATGTATATCTAACACAATCTATGAATTCTTGGTTTGCTCTGCTTGCACAGCCAACCGGCTCTGTACATTTGGAATTTGGGGAAAAAAACTAAGAGAAAGGGGAGGCTAAAAACAGAGGGTTGGGGGAATAAAAGAACAGGAAGTAAAGTGGGGTGCAATAGAAAAGGTAGGAGAATAAATATGGATGGAAAACCCAGGTTAGAAAGGTATGAGCAAGGGGGATATAAGGATATGATGGTGGGTACAATATCTAGGCCAGCAAGCGACCAACCCAATATGGGTTCCGTGCTGAGTAGAGGGAAGCGTCGCCATAATGGGCCGCAAAGGCTACATTGACAGACACTCATATAACTCCAGTATTGATATGTCACCAGTAATGATAAATCTTTCTAGTCTGCAAACTACTGGGCCTCAGTAGAGGACACAATTTTCAGCCAATGAGCATGAGGAGGCTGGGTTTATTAATTTTTTAATTTCCTTTACTATCTTCACCCATCGCAAAAGTGATGAAGGATTCTCCCTGCACCGCATCAAGGGTGCCATTGTTTTTGCTATATTACCTAATCTCCAATCTACGTAGTTTTTACATGCTTTTATAGGGAGTGATGTGCGGAGAATAACATTGCTGCAGGTGGGAAAGGTATCTGACAGTCTGAAATCTGCACAGAACTTTGTTTACAGCTCACCAAAATCCACCACCTTAGGTAACAAAGGTAATTGGTTTTCATTGGAGAAAATTATGATTATATCTGCCACATAGATATTTTTGTGCTAGATGTAGATCATAAACAGGTAACAGAAACTGCACTCAATCCACATGCCAATTCAGTGCTTGATTAGACCATGGGCCAGCACTAGCCCATCAGAATATAAATACCACTTGAAAGAAGGTCCAGGCATCAAATGCGTAAAGGCACATTGTTTGGAACCAGAGGAACAACACAATGTTTTGATCTAAAATTTGGTCTTTCTCAAGTGAGTCCTTAACAAAGACACAAATTTGGGTTGAAACATTGCAGTATTCCTCTGGTTCCAATAAATCTGCCTTTAAGCATTGGAGTGCTCGACCCGTCTTTCTTCAACTGTTAACTAAATATAGATCGTGTGACCAAAATCAATAGCAGGAAGCGTTCTGGACATAATATTGTAATGCAGGGGTAAAGGTAGTGAATTTATCAAAGGGATCTGGATTTATACATCATATATTAATTATTCTTCAAATATGAACATGTATAAATATAGATATATTTACTATTGATATATTTATTATTTTAAAATTTTATGCATTATGTATATATATGATTTTAAAATAATAAATATATAAATAGTATAGTAATTATATATATCTATAAATATATTTATTATTTTAAAATCATACATTATATATATTTATTAATTTAATATAAAATGTTATTATACAAATATTTATTATTTTAAAATCATATGCATTATATATATAAATTATATATATACATATATATATAGAGAGAGAGAGAGAGAGAATTTATATATATATATTTGTTTGTTTGCTTAAAAGTTTTATTTATTTATATATTTTGTTAGAAATTCTGAAATGGGTCTCCAAATGTTCCTTTTGTCAACAGTTGTAATATTAAAACATATATATATATGAAAAGGCACAATAGAATTATTGTTTTTTATCATTCCTTTTCCTACTCTATCTTCTAGATGCAGTTAGTGACATTTTCACGCTTAGAAAACTTTAATGAAGTAAATGGCATACTTTCCATTATAAAATAATAATAATAATACTAAAATTAAAATTGTGTTTTGTGCTACAAAAGCACATTTTAAAATCTTAAATTCACACCTTATAAAATAATAAGTTTAAACATTACACTATTTCAAACATGAACCATTAAATATTGCACAAATGTGTTGGCAATAATACATACAATCTAACTTTGACCTTTGGTTGTTTTTTTTATTTTTTTTTAATATCTCAGGAATTGTGAAAAATTAGTTAATTTAAGGTTGAAAATGCAGATCTGGAAAAAAGTAAGAATGTTTCCAGTTCCGCTATTTTTTTTCAGGGGGAAATGACAATCGCCAGGACTTTTACTGTTATGTTTACTTAATCCTAAATTTGAACAAAAATGTAACTGTAAGGTGTAAAAAATAAAATAAAATGTAGAAATGTAAAACTTGCAATCCTGTAAATGGCGCCTCCATGTTAGGTCACTGTCTGTCATTGTTATAAGCTCTGTTCTTTGTCTTTGGCAGTCAGCAAACATAAAGCACACAGAAAAGAACAGAAATGTAACAAAGCTTCTAGTTTTCCTCTTCATTTGCACTTTTTGTCCTGGCTTTGCCTTATATGAACTTATATAAACTTGATTATGATGTAATTTGCTAAATCTTGTGTCAAAAATATAAATGTGTAAGAAAAGAAATTTTCCTGTGCGGGCAAGGCATTAATAAAATATGAAGACTTTTCACATCTATGGATGTGAATAGTGAGAAATGCTTCCATGGGACATGGGACATATTTCAGCTGTCAGATTTCCTTTAGCTGTGTGTTACCAGGCGTAGGGAGACACAAGCAAATCACTGGCTCGGCTTCAGGGTTCCTCTAATGTGCAAAGTCGTTTAAGGATGTATACAAGTACATATTTTCTTGCAGCACATCAATTATTTTTAGTCTTCAATTGGTTGTGTTTGGGAGCAGCCTCTCTGTGTTGCTTGCTGCTATGGAGACAGTATCTATGTATACCGAAATGTTTTCAATTGATTTCTTAAATGTTACCACCAAGGACAAAAACCAGCAGTACCTTCATTTGAAGTTCACCGTGCCTTTAACACTCTAACCTTTCTCTCCACTAATCTCCTATTTAAGTATTCTTGTAGGACAGGGGAATTTTGGCAAGTTCCTTTAACCCCTTAAGGACCAAACTTCTGGAATAAAAGGGAATCATGACATGTCACACATGTCATGTGTCCTTAAGGGGTTAAAGGGACACTATAGTGACAAAAACAACTTTAGCTTAATGAAGCCGTTTTGGTGTATAGATCATGCCCCTGCAGTCTCACTGCTCAATTATCTGCCATTTAGTAGTTAAATCACTTTTATTTCTGTTTATGCAGCTCTAGCCACACCTCCTCTGGCTGTGACTGACGTAGCCTGCATAAATGGTTTAATTTTCAATCAGATGTAACTTACTTTACATGCTTTTTTTTTTTTTTATAATTCTTTATTTGTGCATGACAGGAACAGTGGCATAAGATTCACATTTCGGCTTTCGCAGAAGTCCATATGCATCATTATATTAAAAGCCCATTCTAACCCTGAGACTTTGTGTATGCGGTTAAGTTCTCTGCGGCCAGATTTCACCGTCCGTCAAAATTTTTTACATTACAGAAGCATGATTTCCTTACATACTCTATTGTGTGTGCCACTGTTGCGTATTTTCGCACCGCAAGTGTGGTGTCACGCCCCTGAGTGCATATCTGTCGTGTTGTTGTATCCCTAGCCCGTCGCCCCTCGCTACTTCTTGATCCAACCATACCCCGCTGCACTCCCCTGGCCTGCCTAGATCTAATGTAGGTGCTGCGTGCTTACCGGCACTCTCTCCTATACGTGCTCCATAGAAAAGGGTTAAAAGAGTGGAGAAGAAGAAAGAAAGAAAAGTAGAGAAAAAAGTATCCTTAGGCGGTCCAGGGCCTGAGCAGGGGGATAGGGGGGGCAGAGAGCGCAGCACACACCCCGAGTGGGAATCGCCTGTGTGTCCCTCAGGGCGCCCCTCCCAGGCCGCCACATCCACCTCAGTCTGTTCTGCCAAGGCTGCCCTACTCCCCCCTCAGTCGCCCCACGGGGATTCGACCCATGGCTCCCATACCCTTTGGAAGGTCTTGGTGGTGCCCCTGACCCTGGCCATAAGGTCATCCATCAACTGGATGTCTTTTATCCTACCTATCACACTCGTTATTTGTGGTAGATCCTGCTCTAAGCATTTAAAGGCTATTGCTTGTCGTGCGGCTAGCGTAATCTTATGGAGCAGCTTCTGTTCCTTTCGCGTCCATCCCTCCACCGACCTGTTTAGGAGATAGACCCATGGTTCCAACACGGGCGCCCTAGAGAACACCTGTTGCATCCAGGTTGTGTACTGCTGCCCAAAACGGGATCACGCTGGGGCATTCCCACCACATGTGGAGGTATGTTTTTTTTTTTTTTTTAATTCTTTATTTTTCTTGTGCATTTGATTACATAACAGAGGTATCTGTAGCGCCACAACAGCGATTACAGGCAGTTCAATGGCTTACATTGTCATGGCAGAAATAAACAGCACATTTTTTGTAATGAGAAAAATAACAGACTGGGAACACTTTAAAGATTTTAAACATGCTATATACAGGCTAGCTTTGTATGACTGTTGCGGTGGGTCCCGATGGGGTTTCGAGCTTGAGACAGTAAACATACAGTGGTACTAGAGATTGGAGTAGTCAAGTTCTTAGAGAGTGGGTTCAGGTTAAATTCGTAGTCATATTGAATAAGCACGGTTGCAGTTAGCAGTAACTTGGTGTACAACTACATTAAAAAGTTAAACTGTGTGTATTTAAGCTTAGACACAACATACAGCAGTTAACATTGCTAGAGTTAGCCTTCATTGTGTAGTCCTGTTTCTATTCACTCTGAGCCTAAAGGTACCCTGTCTAAAAACAATGGTAACATTCAAAAGCAGTTAGTGGAATCTGCACATTTTTAAGATTATGGCACAATATTTATATATATTCGAAGAGTACATGAACTGAATAACAGAGAACGTATAGCATGGCATAAGTTGGTGCCTAAAGTAGAATAAAATAAAATAAAATAGAATAGAATTTGTGATTACATTGGATATCCCTTTATTATGTCCTATTTCCTGGCGACCTATTCTTAGTATATGCGCATAGACCACCTGAAATGGGCAGTAATAGGTGCCTACAGCTGGTAATATAAAAACTGGTTAAACGTAAGGTGTGGATATCATTCTACATGGTACTCCCATAGGAGATGCATGGGTGCATGTCTAAGGTGGTGATTACAGTAGTAGCACAGGTTGGTAAGATTACATAGTTAGGCATATTGACTTAAATCCTGTGTCTGCATAAAAATAAGAGAATAAGCAAAATGGGAATTATAGCAGCGATCAGCCACTGGGAGTGTATATAGGTCGCTAATAGTAGTTAAACTGTTAGGTGCGATACTGCTTGCGCACTGGTGTGATATACCGTGGAGCTTAATCGGCTCGCCAGTTTGGCATAGAGCTGGGCTAAGCATTTTGTGTTTGTATGCGTTGAGATCATTAAACCATTGGGTTATGAGCCTGGACCTAGAAAGCTGCTTATTTGATCAAGACCACAATATTAGCAACCAAAGATATTAAGCTTAGTCATTACTGTCTCATAGGGTACCCTGTTATTATGCATAGGCTATGCTGGTGTAGGTATCTGAGGGCACACTCAGTTAGTAAAGTTTTGCTAAGTTTTATGCGATTAGGCTTAGGCCTGACATGACATTAGCTCCACTAACCCTAGTTTTGGTTGAGAGTAGAGTAACAAACTGCCTAGCACTGCAGTACACTTCGTGGTCTAACTTATAACTTTAAACATGAAACATTGTACATTCCGCAGCTGAGTGGGTGAGATGTCCGGCAGTGGCATCGGCCTGGGTTGAGGGGTGCCGTTAAATAGAGTTAGCCCTCGCGAGAAGTGGGCTGCAGGCCCTTAGTTTTGGTGGAGTCAACCAATGTTCTGGTTCGGAGGTGGCAGGGAGTTCTGTAATGTCACCAAGTCAAAGTGAAGAATCGAGTGGTAATGTCACTTGGGATGGGTCTCTTGTAAGTTGCAGGAGAAGTACCGTACTCTCGAGAGGCCAAGGGCAGGTGAGTATGTCCTGGAGTGATGTAGTCGTCAAGGTTGTTGATCCGCGTTGGATCCCTTTGAGCCTCGGGTGGTCAGGAAGAGGGTAAGACTGCAGTGTGTCGTTTTTGGGGAGGGGGGTCAATGTTAGCCATTCCTGGGTTTGTTGAGATTCTTGGCTGTTTAGTCGGGCAGGTGTAGGATACTGCGGGTGGTCCCGGCGTCCTTATAATCATTGCCTTAATTGGTGGTAGGGTTGGAGCGTGGGCCCTACAGCTCTTCCTAGGTGGTGACCGAGGCGTATGTGACCGGTGTGTTGTTTCGCGGTACAAAAGGGGGGCAGTTGTCCGGGTCCCAGCTGTGAGCCGGGGTGGTGGGGGCTCGGTGATCTGCTTGGGAGAGAGAGTCCCGCGGTAGGCCGTGGATTTGGTGAGTTGTTTCTCCCTGTTGCACAAGGAGTGTGTGGGCTGACCTCCAGCGGTAGGAGATTTTGTGCCTCTGGAGTGCGGCAGTGAGGGGTCTGAGTGATCTACGCCACGCCAAAGTACCGTTCGAGAGGTCATTATAGAATGTTAGCTTCATATTCTCAAAATGCACAGGAGTTTTTCCCCGAAGGGCAGTGAGGAGCGATGCTTTGTCTGCTCTATTTTTGAAGATAAGGATAGTGTCCCTTGTGGCCGCGTCTGGGGCCCTGGCAGGTTTCAGGATCCGGAATAGATCTGTGGGAGTGATGGGTTTAGTTTGACCTGGGGGCAGTATAGTGGTTAGCAGGCGCCTGATCGTGTATGGCAGTTCTACCTCCGGTAGCCCCTCCGGGATCCCCCTGACCTTTATGTTGTGTCTCCTTCTTGCGTCCTCCTGGGCGTCCAGGCGTCTTTCAAGTATCGTGTTTTTGCGGCTCAGTTCTTGCACGTCTCTCTGCAATGTGGTTATGGTGCGCTGACTTTCTTGAGAGGAGTCCTCTAGCACAGCCATTCGGCCTATGAGGCCCTGCAGCGTTGACCCTAATGCTGTGACATCCGCAAGGATGTTTTTCTGCAAATCTGCTAGTAGGGTTTTCAGCACCCCTGTGGTCACCAGGTCGGCATCAGGATCTGTCCTTGCTTTGCCTGGTTGTGTCCTTGGTGTTGGGTCAGGGGCTCGGTAGTACTCCTCCTCTGCCCCCTCTGAGCAGTCGTCCGAGAAGTCCGTGCAGCCTCCGTGCAGCGCCGCCATATTGGCCTCACTCGGGCCGCGTGTTTGCCGCCACATTTCCCCTATTGTTAGTCCTGGGGTTGTTTTGTCCGGCATCTGTTTTTTATTTTTGCGTCCCATCGTGCTTGAGGGGTTCCTATGTGTGGTCGTGGTTAGTGGGGGGTAAAGTAGGCTGTGTTTAGGCTATATTTCTCCGGTTGTAGCAGGGAGCTCCGAGGTTTTGCGACCGCTTGTTTCGGCTGTCAGGCTCCGCCCCACTTTAAATGCTTTTATGTCCTGCTCTGTATATTGAACTTTAATTAGCTACAGGAGGCTCCTGCAGGGTCTAGCAATCTATCAACAGAGCATGAGATAAGACATTGTAAATTAAACAGAATTTGACCCTTTACAGGAAGTGTTTAGAAAGGCTGTGTAAGTCACATGCAGGGAGGTGTGACTAGGGCTACATAAACAGAAACAAACGAGTGATTTAATTACTAAATGGCAGGGAATTGAGCAGTGAGACTGCTATGACATAATTTATACACCAAAGCTGCTTTATTAAGCTAAAGCTGTTTTCTGGACTAGTGTCCCTTTAAATACATTTTCTCCAAAGGACACTTAGCTGGAAGTAACACCATATCTTGTTATACATATATATATAATGCAATATAAAATATGCAAAAGAAACAGGGATATTTACTAAAGTGAGAATTAAAATTGAATTAAAAGTGATTTTCAAATTTAGACCAAAGTAGCTGAACTTGAAGCACAGCTGACTTAAGTAATATTTCCAGTTTAGCTTTAAATTCTCCCTTTTGTGAATAATCCTATTAAATTTGAAACATACTTTGAATTCACTTGGAATTCTCACTTTAGTAGATAACCCAAAAATATTTTATGTATTCATGTACAATGCAGTAAAACAGTATACAAAAAAATAAAATATAAAATTGAACAAGGTAAAAAAAAAAAAAAAAAAAGATACTCACCTTTAAAGGGCACCTGCCATGCCCCAAACAAATTATGCTCATTAGATTGAGCATAAGATTATATCTGTACATTGTGCTGGCACTTTTGCTAGCAGATGTATAAATTAGGAGAACTACCTTTTTAAAAATAATGTTTTCTCGAGCTGTCAGTCAACACCTTAGATCCATAGATGGAGCTTCTAGCGTTGGTAACGTCACTCCATTTCAATGCAGGCATGCTGGCAACAAATTCGGGGTGACGACGTCACTGAGGAGATTTGTCTCTCAAGCAGAGCAAATCAATGAAGAGTCCAGGCGGACTCTTTCCCACAGCTCCCCTAAAAAAAACCCCAAACAATTATGTTAAACTGATTCCTTCACTAGAGCTACAAAAAAATCCCTAGCCATTGGAGAATGCAAATTTAGACCTAGCAAGTAAAAGTTCACCCATGGCAAGTTCTCATGAACCCTCAAGGCTTGCAATGGCAAGTAACATTTGGACCTGACTGGTTCTATAGGACTTGAAAGTTCTGCCTTTATTAAGTAAATTCTGCAGATATTCAGAATGGATCACACTATAAGCACAATACTGCTACATCATATTAAAACTTTAATTTTATATTTTTTACATCCCCATTTACCTAGATCTTTAAACAGCATAGTTTCCTCAATTTCCTTAATGTTAATTCAGTTTTGTCCTTTCACATCCATATATCATCATAATCTGGTCCATAAAGGCATGCCTATACAGAATGTTCTATTCTTCATCAACTAGTGTACAGATTCACCTCCTAATACTAAACAGGAGGGATCTTTCATGTCATAGTACAGTATTTAAGGAACAGATTGTTATAACCATATGAACAGTTTATAGAATGTTGGGCAATGGTTTATAGTCTTCCATGACATGTTTCCCAGATGTATCTTATTCTCTGGCACTGCCATCTATTGGTCTGCAAAATAATTACATACACTAAGGACGGCTTGTCTGTGATATAGAAAGAATGTTTAGTTCCCTTCACTAATAGCAATTATCTAGAATGCTCCAACATATTGCCGAGCACTGTGCAATGGGAAGACATACAAGTATAGATGAGTTTAAGAGCCATGAGGTTTTTAAACCAATGTCTGAATTGAGTGAAACAACTTCATAGAAAAATAAGTCGGAGCAATTCGCAACAATTTGGACTCAAAACCTTGGAGGCAATTCACTATCGAAATGATCTACTAAACTGGAAGTTAGGAGAACAGACACTGAAATAGCTGCAAAAAATATTTCAAGTCTCCAAGTCCAAAGTTTTGCCTGGAAAGTGATTGGAGTTACAAAAGGTAGAATTTTAATGACAGGAACCTCTGACCTAATGCCCACCTTAACACTATGCCCCCAAGGCCCATAACTCTTGCCCCATTGTCCCCACATATATAAATAGATATACACACAGACACACACGATTGCTTGTCAAAGCAGCACGGTGACACATATCCTGGCCTACCTGTCGGTAATGGGAGTCACACTACTATAATGAAGCAACTGATTTTGTCAGCTACCTTTAATTTAATATACACTTTCTGGGAGAGTTAAACAAGGTTCCTCTCTCCCAAATTGTTTGCAAAGCATTTTGGCAAATGGCAGCTGCTATCAGCAGGAATAATGGAATTGGCGAGCACAACCACAACATGTATTTCTTAAGAGTGGTCACCAAATGCCTTGTAGGCCTTTTAATATTTAAATCTGTATTTTTGTGACTGCGCTATTGAGAACATGCATGTTCTTGATGTGCACGTATTTCTTGGTATATTTAGAGCCCTCACTAGTTTACTTTGGGTTCAGCACCTACCACTCCTCTTCAGGTGCCCCATTAAAAGTGACTACAGGAAAGCATACATTTGAGGAAAATATCTGAAAGCATTTTAAGCAGTAAGTAAAGCAGATAGCATGTTTATTATCTCCCATGTTTAGTCTAGGACCACCGATCAGGGACAGATCCAGTAATCAGTCTCAGAAAAGGAACTGTTGAATATTTTTGCGGTCAGGTGAGGTAAAAAATGAGTTTGTTTTTCAGCTCTCATACAAACATCCTGCATGTAACAGTGTTATTGGAACCAGGTTTTATTATACACTAATGCACACTGGACATTACTGTGATTCCAATCGATCCTGTGGCCCACACTTACAGCACTGAGACTGGACCCTCCTGATAGCCCCACCTCTCTGTCCATCGGTCTGTAGCCCTGTTTCTCTGTACATCATCTATTTCTCTACCCCCTCCCCAATTCTCTCTTCTTCACTAAACCCATCTTTATTGTTTACCAACACCCATTAATATGTTTCTCCCAGTCACATCTCTCTTGGGTCCATTTATCTCCTAGCTACATCTCTATCTCCTTCCCATGTCCATTTCTCTCTCCCCCTCCCCTCCCCCCGTCCGACCCTCCAGAAACTTTTTTTTTCTTGTTCCCCAATCTCCATCTTTATCTGTTTCTCTCATAGCCTGCCGTACAACAATTTATCCTAATGCTAGCCCAGTTGGTCCTGTTCCACACTGTCCCTCTACCTCTTGGTGAAATGTGTGAGGAAGCTTACTGAAGGAGCCGGTTGGTATAAACACAATTTACCCATACACTCCCTCAGTAGACATAACTATGCTGCACAGAGGCTTGGCTGTGCCACCAGGGAAGCAGAAGATGATGGATTTCCCTTGTGGACATTGCAGTCCGATCTCTCCTTGGATCAAAAATATGTTATCCCACATATTAAAAATGATATCCCTAAAAATTATGTTTTGGCAAGTATCCATTGATTTGCTGTTTAAACATATGTACAGACTCTGATAAAACCACCACTTCAAGCAGAGGATTTCACAACCTTATTGTTCTCACTGTAAAAAAACATTTCCTTAGGCTAAATCTCCTTACTTCCAGTGTAAATGTGTGACCTCTTATAGTCCTGTTTATGAATAGATTTCCAGACAGTGGTTTATATCTAAGTATAATGTATATTACAACATATTTAGCTATTTCCTTTGAATAAAGGTTAGTGTTGCTTGAGGTTACATTATTTATGTCATATACATCAATTGGTTTTAACTTTATAAAAACCTTTCCACTAGGAATGGACAATTAGGGTATCTTTATCCTTCAGTTAGCTCTATGCATACAGTTACTCATATGGTTAAAATTTAAATAAACATCTAAACATCTTGATAGAAGGATGTCTTTTGATTATAATAGAAGTATTTATTTTGTTTTCTGTAATGTTGCAAGCAGTTGATATTTATAGTTTATTTTTTCCGCGTGACCTTGTCCCAGTTTGGAGACAGAATTCACAAAGGTCAGTCTCGTTTACTAGTTCGGGTCCTGAGAATCTGATTCTGTTCCAGATTTGCAGAGTTCTACATTCCATGTCTTGAGATGTTGGAACGGCTGCTGTTGGCAGCATTTCAAGAACTGCGTTTACTGAAACACACATTTAAAAAGAACACACCACTAACCCAGCAATCAGAGAACTATGTTTGTATATCTCACCTCTGGTGCACAACCAATGACACGATTGTCTTTCGCACAATTCTTTTCTCCCCTGTTCATTGACTTGTCTTATAACATGTAGGATCGAGATGTAAAATATTCTACAGAAAACGCATCTTAAACTCTTTTTCCTTTAAAGAAACAAATCTGTATTCCTAAAGCTATAGTGTCTTTGTCCCTAGTGGTGTTAGCCGCCCTCCCTCCCCCCTGGTTTGGTATATAAAGGGTTAATAAAACACTTTATCACTTAACTTCTTCCAGTGCAAACGCTCCCTCAGAGCTGCTTAGTTTGCCTCCTTCAGCAACATCACAGAGCTCCTCATAGCATTGGGGACCCAACCCGCATGCGCGTCACGTGACACGCACATAGTGCTTTCCTATTAGGACTTCCGCAGTAATGGAGCTATGAAGGCGCACTCACTTCGTCTGTCTGCTTTGAACATAGATGATAGACGTTCTCATGCAAAGCGTGAGGACATCCAGCATTGGATAGCAGTTTTACTCCACTAAAATACAGGAGGCACCATCTAGTGGCAGTCTGGGGTTTAGCCCAAAAAGGAAAGCTAAAACGACATGGGCAAAGCAATCAGACCACCTCACTGAGATTAACTCATCTGGGTGCCTTTAGTGTCCCTTTAATGTTAAAATGTTTTTATAAGTGTGAGTTCACTGATTGGACAGTGTACTAACAAATTCGCTTGTATAAACAGATATTAGTGCATTTACCATAAATTAAAGGAGTACTCCAGTCACCCACACATCTTTGGTGCAATGTGTAGAGTAGGTTACATTTGAAAAAAAAAAAAAAAATTTTTTTTAAATGAACCTTTTATAGTTTTTTTTTTCTTTAATATTAATAGTTATTTTTATATCATAATCCCAACCCTTTGTGCATCCTCCTGCCAAGTCTGCAGTGTTTCCCTTTATACTGCTGAACACGATGCCATGACTTTGATTATTGAGAGTTGTAGTTCTGCTGTTAACTATCTGTGGCTTTCCATGCATTCTTACAGTTGAACTACAACTACCAGAAACCCCCTTGTGTGTCATAAAATTACTGCTTATGTGGTAAGTCCAACAGTATTATGCAAGGTTTAGGGAACAGCAATAAAACAGTTTTAAAATTCTTGATATCCTCTTATGTACTAAAGTAAACTTTTGCCTGTGGTTTCGCAGGATTGAAAGAGATGGCAAGTAAGCTTCTTTGATTGACAGATTTTCAGTTCCTAAGAGTTTGGACATTATGCACTCTATAAGTCATTGGACCTCCAGGCTTACTCTTCCCAGGCCTGGGAAATTATCAGTAACGAGAGGCCAGCAGCTTAAAATGAGTAAAATACCTAGATTCTTCATGAAGTTTGCTATATAGCCAGACATGCCCCTTTTTGGTTTTGTGGCCCTTGAGATCATGTCTATGAGGGGTATTTGTAATAATGTTATATGTCAGTGTACCTCCCCCTTTTGACATGTGGAAATATCTTGACAAGACTAGCTGAGAAAAGATGACGCATTGAATTTGAGTTCCACGCTATATTTCAGCTATTACTGAGATTTTAAAGACAGATTAATTGAGCTATGAGTAGGTTTGCTGTACTCTCAGAATAAGGGAACGCTCAAGAAATCTGCTGCTTCAATCTGGCAGATGGTATCTAGAGGACGCCAGTCCCTGAAACAGAAACACTTTTTTTACAGAAGAAACCATGAGTTTACGTGTTTCAATTTCCACCATAAAAGCTGTAAAAACATGTCAGGACACAAAATATACGCAAATATTAAACACAGACAAATAATAGAATTGATCAAAATATAAAGAACTGCAAACACTTTAGCGGCTATTGTTTTTCAATTAGTAGGTGTACATCACAATGCTTACTAGAACAACCTTTAAATAGATTTATTTTTACAACATTTTAGAATATTGGGAATAGGTGACTTGCTATTTCAAATTCATGGCATACTACGTGATACAAGCGCCTTAGCAAAAACAATTGCAAATATTTTCTTGTCGCTATAGATTTTGGTGTTGTTTAAAGTGTGATCTGAACTAATTGTGATGCCCTTGAATAGAGAATTAATTTTGGAACAGAGACGTCTCCAAATTATTTTGTACAGTTTGAAAGTGATTAAAGTTTGAAACAGATGAATTAAAAATGAGTAGAATGCAAGGTGGTAATATTTTCACAAACTAATGATATAGGAATCGAGAGGAACTGCAATAATTTAGGTAGCATGCTAAGTTTGACAAAAAATCAATTAAATCAGCTTAACCAGGGACAAAGGTTTAAAAATAATATCAGGAAGTATTACTTTACTGAGAGGGTAGTGGATGCATGGAATAGCCTTCCAGCTGAAGTGGTAGAGGTTAACACAGTAAAGGAGTTTAAGCATGCGTGGGGTATGCATAAGGCTATCCTAACTATAAGATAAGGTCAAGGACTAACGAAAGTATTTAGAAAATTGGGCAGACTAGATGGGCCGAATGGTTCTTATCTGCCGTCACATTCTATGTTTCTATGTTTCTAACCAAGAGAATCTGTATTTGTTCCAGATGTTGTTTTCCATCAAAATCATGTTCTCTTTTAGAAGTTTGACCTGTCCTTCTACAGAGAGCTATACATCCCCCTTACCCCCTCCCTACCCCCCTTCTTTTCTATTCTTATCTTTTCCCTTTTTTTTTGTCACTTGCTTTTTCCTCCCTTTTTTGTCTTTCTGCTTGTTTGATTTTTCTTTGGAATATATTTCATGTTATGGTAAAAAGATACTGAGAATTTGAAGATTAATTCTGCAATGGTTAATGTACTGTACTTACTTGCTTTTGTATTGATCTACAATCATTCTCCAGCAAATAATTAAAGACTTAGAAAAAAGAAAAATGAAAAAAAGAAGCTCGACCTGTTAAGTAGGTAAAGAAATATTTAAAGCTTTCAAATAAAGGGAAACTTTAGGCACCCAGACCACTTCACCTCATTTTAGAGAAACTGCAATGTTGTTTACCATTGCATGGTAAAGACTGCCTCTAGGTGCAGTCTGCCAGACAGCCACTAGAGGTTCTTCCCGCTGTTTCATCAAGCTCCATGAAACAACGCTGGATGTCCTCATGCAAAGCGCAAGAACATCCAGCGTTGTTTCACGGAGTTAAACAGCGTCTTCTAAATCCTCAATAGGAAATATTGATTCAATGAAGGCAGAGATGGAGCCAATGCCGAGGGACGTTGGCACTGAAATAAGTTAAGTAAAAAATGTTTTCTTTAATAGCCGAGGGGGTGCAGGGGCAGAGGGACACTATAGTGTTAGAAACATGGCTTTGTAATCCTAACACTATAGTGTTCCTTTAAGCAATGTTTTATAGTCAGAAATATCCCCACGCATAATATATCCAGGGAAAGGTGGGGGCACATCTGTGTAAGCAAGACACTATCTGTAAATAGGTTTATCTGATTGTCCCCCCCAGCTCCATTTCTTGGTCAACTCAAGAGGACGTAGTCTTAAATTAGAGGGGGAACGGTTTAAAAATAATATCAGCAAGTATTACTTTACAGAGAGTGAAGTGGATACATGGAATAGCCTTCCAGCTGAAGTGGTAGAGGTTAACACAGTGAAGGAGTTTAAGCATGTGTGGGATAGGCGTAAGGCTATCCTAACTATAAGATAAGGCCAGGGACTAATGAAAGTATTTAGAAAGTTGGGCAGACTAGATGGGCCGAATGGTTCTTATCTGCCGTCACATTCTATGTTTCTATGTTTCATAACTCATGGGCAAAAGGAAACAAAAAACTAAAAAAACGAAAGAGAGAACCTTCTATAATGCACCACCTCTGATCCAAGTTTCTCTGCAACTTAAATCAAAGCCTTAACACAAATGTTTCCAATCCCTTAGTAAGCATTTCACATATAATCCAATACAATATAATATACTGTGAAATGCTGGGTTCCTTGATGTTTTTTTGTTCTTTCTTTAATCTTACTTCGTGGTTCTCAGGCTAGAATTGATGAATTTGCCTTTGTGAGCAGGAGAGGAGATCATTTGATAGCTATATCTGTGCAAAAAAATATTCAAACCCTGACCTGCTTAAGATTCCCTTAAGGATAGATAAAAAACAAAAAGAATTCACTGAATATTGTGTATTACAGTATGAGAGCTAAGCAGTGGGACTCGGGGGGGAAAGTGCTTATCATACTATATTACTGAGTAATACGCTGCTTGCCTGTGTGAATCAGACTGATAGTGGGACAAGAAATATTACCAGCAACCCACTCTATATCTAGTCATCAGCCTACATTCACACCCTTTTTGTTCTAATCGAAAACATGTTACCAAGTCGCACAGCATGAAAACATATTGTTTCATTTTGAAACCAAAATCTCTGCCCCATTTTATCAACCCCTTAGTGATCAGACCGTTTTTCAATTTTCTTACTGTTAAGGACCAGGGCGGTTTTTACATTTCTGCTGTGTTTGTGTTTAGCTGTAATTATCTTCTTACTCATTTACTGTACCCATACATATTATATACCGTTTTTCTCGCCATTAAATGGTCTTTCCAAAGATACCATTATTTTCATCATATCATATAATTTACTACAAAAAAACATAAAATATGATGAACAAATTTTAAAAAAAATTGTCTTCTAACTTTGACCCCCAAAATCTGGTATGCATCTACAAATGCCAAAAAATACCAATGTTAAATAGCCAATCTGGGAAATTTCAATGTGTAAAAATTGAAAATCAAGTTTTATATTTGACCCTGTAACTTTCAAAAACACTATAAAACCTGTACATGGGGGTACTGTTATACTTTGCTGAACAAAAATATTAGTGTTTCAAAACAGTAAAACATATCACAACATCATCAGTAAAAGTGCTGTTTGTGTGTGAAAAATGCAAAAAAAATTCACTTTCACTGACAATATCATCACTGTGATATGTTTTAATGTTTTTAAACACTAATATTTGTGTTCAGCGAAGTCTCCCAAGTAAAATAGTACCCCCCGTGTAGGGTGTCTTGGAAAGTTACAGGGTTAAATATAGTGCTAGCAAATTAAATTCTCTGGACTTTCTGCCTGGGTTATTAGGCAGGTCCCGCAAATTGCAGTCAATGAAATTACTTAATTATGTAAAAAAGCATTTCCAGCGCTCACATTTGACCGTTTTTTGTCGGACATACCTGATATGTCCGCGGTCACGAAGGAGTTACAGTGCACTGAACAGCTCTTTGCATTATTATAGGGATTTAATTCAGGAAGCATTTCCCAATGCAACAGACCATCTATTTTAAAAACACAACAGACGCCATACATGAACATTTATTCCCAAAATAAAAACAGTGAGTAAATGTATTTCTCCAAACTAGATATGCAAGGTTATTAACTTAAGTGTGAATAGTGGAAATTCAAAAGTTTAATCTCTAGACATTGAAAGGGAGTGAAACGAAAAGTTTAGGAAAAGTAGCTAAACTAGTGGTTATATGACATTGTAATTTTCAAATTGTTGCCCATAATATCTAAACGAATAATTTAGCTGATGTGGAGATTTTTTACACTTTTGCTTCTGTGACCTAAAATTTCAATTTCACTTTGAATTCCTAAAAGCGCACATTTTAGTGACTAGTCCTGTTTGTTCTCCCTTCTTCGCTGCTAATAAAAAGCCACCATGAAATCTGACCTACACAAATTGCTGAAAACTGTAGGAAGAAAAGGGGAGGTCTCCATTTAAGTCCCAATACAGAGATTAATATGGTAAGGTTGGAGTCCTGACTGACAAATGTATTCGGTAGGTGAAACTCAGTAGTAGATGAAAGAAGAATGTAAGTGGGATTTTATGGACTATATTTCATTTGGCATTGTTTTTTTTAAGCGATAGAATACACATTGTTGAGCGTGAAGGACAACCAGGAGATATCTGCCACAGATAAGTTGTGTTTAGTGCGATGAGGTGACCCAGAGTCAACCTGTAGACAAAGTAGACAATTGCCTAAGGATCCAACAGACATAAGACTTGTATTGCCACTTCAATGCTGGTCCCATCTCAACCAAAAAGTAGGCTCAAGGATCTCATCAAGCCATCTGACACATTACCTACCAGTAATGGGTGACATCAGTAACATGGAGAGGAAAATAATGCTTCCTGTTTTCTACATCTGTATGTGAGCATGAAGGTTAGGACCTGATCGTGGGATAGGTGGTGGGTCACATATTAGATCACAAATGGTACAAAAGGAGAGGGGCCAGAAAAGGTGTACAAGCTGGACTGGCAACGATAATGGAGATCATTGGGAAAAGTCACACTAGAAAGGTGATCACAAGAGATTCTGAGATGAGTTATCACAGATGGGAATGGTGACCAGAAGTGAGGCAGAATGGATTCAAACAGTGGATATGGGACCCCAAAAAGGACAGAATTGTTGCTTTTTACAAATTGAAAAGGGGACAATTAGGAGGTGACAAAGCATATATTGAATATGGATTTAAACACTGCTCAAAAAAATAAAAACCACATCCTAGATCTGAAAGAATTAAATATTCTTCTGAAATACTTTGTTCTTTACATAGTTGAATGTGCTGATAACAAAATCACACAAAAATTTAAAAATGGAAATCAAATTTTTCAACCCATGGAGGTCTGGATTTGGAGTCACACTTAAAATGAAAGTGGAAAAACACACAACAGGCCGATCTAACTTTGATGTAATGTCCTTAAAACAAGTCAAAATGAGGCTCAGTAGTGTGTGTGGCCTCCACGTGCCTGTATGACCTCCCTACAACGCCTGTGCATGCTCCTGATGAGGTGGCGGTTGGTCTCCTGAGGGATCTCCTCCCAGACCTGGACTAAAGCATCTGCCAACTCCTGGACAGTCTGTGGTGCAACGTGATGTTGGTGGATGGAGCGAGACATGATATCCCAGTTGTGCTCAATTGGATTCAGGTCTGGAGAACGGGCGGGCCAGTCCATAGCATCAATGCCTTCATCTTGCAGGAACTGCTGACCCACTCCAGCCACATGAGGTCTAGCATTGTCTTGCATTAGGAGGAACCCAGGGCCAACCGCACCAGCATATGGTCTCACAAGGGGTCTGAGAATCTCATCTCGGTACCTAATGGCAGTCAGGCTACCTCTGGCGAGCACATGGAGGGCTGTGCGGCCCCTAAAGAAATGCCACCCCACACCATTACAGACCCACTGCCAAACCAGTCATGCTGGAGGATGTTGCAGACAGCAGAACGTTCTCCACGGCGTCTCCAGACTCTGTCACATCTGTCACATGTGCTCAGTGTGAACCTGCTTTCATCTGTGAAGAGCACAGGGCCCCAATGGCGAATTTGCCAAACGTCCTGCATGTTGTTGGGTTGTAAGCACAACCCCCACCTGTGGATGTCAGGCCCTCATACCACCCTGATGGAGTCTGTTTCTGACCGTTTGAGCAGACACAGGCACATTTGTGGCCTGCTGGAGGTCATTTTGCAGGTCTCTGGCAGTGCTCTTCCTGTTCCTCCTTGTACAAAGGCAGAGGTAGCGGTCCTGCTGCTGGGTTGTTGCCCTCCTACGGCCTCCTCCACATCTCCTGATGTACTGGTCTGTCTCCTGGTAGCGCCTCCATGCTCTGGATACTACGCTGACAGACACAGCAAACCTTCTTGCCACAGCTCGCATTGATGTGCCATCCTGGATGAGCTGCACTACCTGAGCCACTTGTGTGGGTTGTAGACTCCGTCTCATGCTCCCACTAGAGTGAAAGCACCGCCAGCATTCAAAAGTGACCAAAACATCAGCAGGAAGCATAGGAACGGAGAAGTGGTCTATATTCACCACCTGCAGAACCACTCCTTTATTGGGGGTGTCTTGCTAATTGCCTATAATTTCCACCTGTTGTCTATCCCATTTGCACAACAGCATGTGAAATTGATTGTCACTCAGTGTTGTTTCCTAAGTGGACCACTATAGGCACCCAGACCACTTCAGCTTAATGAAGTGGTCTGGGTGCCTGGTCCAGCTAGGGTTAACCCTTTTTTTTTTTTTTATAAACATAGCAGTTTCAGAGAAACTGCTATGTTTACACTAAGGGTTAATCCAGCCTCTAGAGCCTCTAGTGGCTGTCTCATTGACAGCCGCTAGAGGCGCTTGCGTGCTTCTCACTGTGAAAATCACAGTGAGAAGATGCCAGCGTCCATAGGAAAGCATTGTAAATGCTTTCCTATGAACTGGCTGAATGCGCGCGCGGCTCCTGCCACGCATGCGCATTCAGCCGATGATGTCGCTAGGAAGGAGGAGAGGAGGAGGAAAGCTGGAGAAAGGTAAGATTTTAACCCCTTCCTCTCTCCAGAGCCCGACGGGAGGGGGACCCTGAGGGTGGGGGCACCCTCAGGGCACTATAGTGCCAGGAAAACAAATATTTTTTTCTGGCACTAAAGGACCACTATACTCGTTTTCCTGGCACTATAGTGCCCTGAGGGTGCCCCCACCCTCAGGGTCCCCCTCCCGCCCGGCTCTGGAAGGGGGTAAAAACGTACCTTTTTCCAGCGCTGGGCGGAGAGCTCGCCTCCTCCGATCCTCCTTCTCTCCTCCCCGTCGGCTGAATGCGCGCGCATTCAGCCGGTCGCATAGGAAAGCATTATCAATGCTTTCCTATGGACGCTGGCGTGCTCTCACTGTGAAAATCACAGTGAGAAGCACGCAAGCGCCTCTAGCGGCTGTCAGTGAGACAGCCGCTAGAGGGAATGGGGGAAGGCTTAACCCATTCATAAACATATGTTTATAAAAAAAATGGGTTAACCCTAGCTGGACCTGGCACCCAGACCACTTCATTAAGCTGAAGTGGTCTGGGTGCCTAGAGTGGTCCTTTAAGTGTTCCCTTTATTTTTTTGAGCAGTGTATATATGGATGGGTGAAGGGGGATATGAAAATTGGACAGCAACCCCTTGGACAGCAGAGCACCCCACGTTATAACCCCTTAAGGATATAATGTGAGCCTCAACAAACAGGACAAGTAGGGAAGATATGCAAATAAGCAAGCTAGCAGAATAGTGAGGGGAGAGTATGTGAGAAACAAATTGTTCTGTTTATGTGCCAACACTTATATCAGGGTACTGCTTAATTGTTAAAAAAGTGTTTTTAATTAATTTTATTCTTTTTAAACAAGCTTTATTTTTAATTAATGCAAGATCGGCATAGCTTACAGCCACCCCATTTAACATAAAACCAAAGCTCAGGATGTGGCAAGTGTAATGTTTATAGCCAATATATAATATTGCCAATAGAATAGTTATATAAGTGAATAGGAAGATACAATGCATGCAGCCAGCATATATAGACAGGAGACATATAACCAATGTTTATATGTCATCGATGTTTATGGCATAATTATATCAATCCTCAGATGGAACGGGTGATTGCTTAGCAATTGTTATTGTTTTTACATCTGTAACGCTGAAACTAAAGGATAATGTGGGTGCTCTGCGCATTGTAAGAGAACTGGAATGTTGAAACTAATTAACTTAATTAAACCTGGCTGAATAGGCATATTTGGGGGAGGAAGATCATGACCACAACATGGAACTATTAAGATTAACAGCACATATTTATCTGCTATATAATAACTACCCACCACAGACCCAATTTATTTTCTCTGTTGCTCCGTATATTACAGAATATAGAAATCGTGTTTTTATATTCAAATGCAACTGACAATCTGTCATCTCTTCTTGGTAAATAACTCTTTGCTTTTTGTGTAGTCTAACACTCTTTCTATAGAGTGGAAGCTCATATGATCAGTGTATTAGAGCTACGGAATCTGATGGCGCTATATAAATAATAATAAAATAATATTAATATTGCAGTTTGCTGTGCTATATGCTGTGTAGAAGACTGGATACAGTTTTAACCAAACATTGAATTATTTTTCCAAAGCAGAATGTCTGGACAGATTTAATTTCGGGACCAAGGGGAACATCACTATCAATATACAAGATTCATGGGGATTTTAAACTGCACCTGTTAAGTTGCTCTGGTGCACTTTCCCTAGTTGCCACCAGGAGGCATCTACCTTTGCTAGTATCATTATTATTATTATCGCCATTTATATAGCGCCAACAGATCCTGCTGATATACCCGGGCTCTTCTATAACATGGTTAATTCTGTATGTATTTTTTTGGCATCTGCAGCAGTGGTGACTAAACCTTACATCACAGATGTTTTTTTTTTAACTACATTTGCTATGATGCATTAGAAGAGCACTGTCATTGGTTTTTGCTTTTCAAATGCCTAACAGAAAACGCTAAAGGCAGAAAAGCAACGGACTATTGCAAAATAGTGCCCATTGGGTCAGAAAACTGGACCGTCAGAGCAAAGGTGCATTACAGATAGCTGTCAGAAGGACATGTAAATGCAAGACATTGCTGTTCTATAACACAGTTATGCATCTTGGAGCTTATTCACTAAACTGCAACTTGCTTAAGTGGAAAACTGAATTGTAAAATTCAGGCCAGAATAGTCAAGCTGTTACAACAGCCCAGTAGGAGAATATAATCAATAGATAAGTGCACAATATGAAGTCAACAAGTATTGGTGAAGCTCAAACGCCTTAAATGGTATCCTCTAAACCACTTCTATAGAATACAGAAAAACATACATACATAAGGTGGAGCTTCTTGCATAGGCATTCAATACATATCTGTAATCATATGAATACAAAAAATAGTGCAATATTGTTGTAACAGAAATAATATACAATATAAACATATAGAGGATCACTCACAAGTCAGGAGTCATAAATCTCATATGACTCGGATGGTAAGCGCTTGTGGACACTTTAAGGATGTCCAATCCCCTATTTTGGTGTCCTTCCCTGGGATCTGATCTGCTTTTGCTTTTCAGAGCGGTAATAGCAGTAATAGTTGCTCAATATTCAAGGTATTAGGTGTATATACACAGGATGCCACAACAGAGTGTAGGAGTGTGTATTTTTTAATGGATTACCTTTTTGAAAAGTCTGCTGCGGCCTCCTGTGTACTAGATGAAATGTGTTTACTGGATGCAGTGTCTGTAGTGTGTGTATTAGACGCAGTGTCTGTGTATAGTCAATGCAGAGTGTTTCAATTTGTGGTGGATGTAGTGTGTGTACTGTGAATACAGGATGTTTGTGTAGTGGATGCTGTGTGTACAGTTAATGCAGAGTGTGTGTTATTGTAGTGAATGCAGAGAATGTGTTAAAGGGACACTCCAGGCACCCAGACCACTTCTGCCCATTGGAGTGGTGTGGGTGCCAACTCCCACTACTCTTAACCCTGCAACTGTAATTATTGCAGTTTTTTATAAACTGCAATAATTGCATTGCAGGGTTAACTCCACCTCTAGTGGCTGTCTAGAAGACAGACACTAGAGGGCACTTCCTGATTCATAGCAAAGATTTTCTTTGCTAGAGCGTCGCTGGACGTCCTCACACTGTGTGAGGACCTCCAGCGTCGCTCAATTCCCCATAGGAAAGCATTGTGCATTAGGTTTCCTCATCCGGCGGGCGGGATCAGTCTCGCCCACTGGCTTCCGTGATTACTGGGAGGAGTGACGCCGACCCGAAACCACCGCTGAGGGACGGTGGGGTCTCAGGTAAGTGACCTGAAGGGGTTTTCACCCCTTCAGCTACCTGGGATGGGAGGTGGGAGGGAGAGGGTACCTGCAGTGTCAGGAAAATGGATTGTTTTCATGACACTGGAGTTTTCCTTTAATGTGTAGTGAATGCAGAGAGTGTGTTAGTGTGTTGTATTAGTGTATGCAGTGTGTGTATTGTGTTAGTGTATGCAGTGTGTATTGTATTGGTGTATGCAGTGTGTATTGTATTGGGTTAGTGTATGCAGTAGGCAGGGGCGTATTAGCCGCGAGGCAAACAAGGCATTTGCCTTGGGCGGCATTTTTCAGGGGGCGGCAAAAAACGCCGCCCCCCAAATGCCCAAGGCAAATGTCTTGTTAGCCTCGCGGCTAACAGACATTCTGGGCGCTGGGCGGCAGTGGCTGCTGGGCGGGCGGCCGGCGAGGGAGCTCTTCCCCTGAGCGCTCTGCTCAGCTCCCTCGCGCGCCGCCAGCAGAGTGAGGCTGGGAGCCGGAAGATGACGTCATATTCCGGCTCCCAGCCTCACTCTGCTGGCGGCGCGCGAGGGAGCTGAGCAGAGCGCTCAGGGGAAGAGCTCCCTCGCTGGCCGCCCGCCCGTCCAGCGCTGCAGCCACTGGACCCCAGGGAGAGGAAGAACCCCCCCCCCAGCATTACCAAAGGTAAGGAGGCTGGGGGGGGTTAAATAAAAAACAAAAAACAAAACACTAGTGAGTGTGAGTCTGCTAGTGTGTGTGTATGTTAGTGTGTGTGTGTTAGTGTGTGTGTTAGTGTTAGTGTGTGTGTGTTAGTGTGTGTATGTTAGTGTTAGTGTGTGTGTCTGTTAGTGTTAGTGTGTATGTTAATGTTAGTGTATGTATGTTAGTGTTAGTGTGGATGTCTGTTAGTGTGGATGTCTGTTAGTGTGGATGTCTGTTAGTGTGGATGTCTGTTAGTGTGTGTGTTTGCCTGTGAGTGTGTGTGTCTGTTAGTGACTGTGTGTTTCTGTTAGCTAGTGAATGCGTATCTGTCAGTGAATGTGTGTGTGTGTATTTAGAAGGCGGAGCAGGGGGGAAGGTTGGGTGGCGGTTGCGCGGGTGGGGGTGGCGCGGGGGGGTGCCTGAGTTTTGTCCTGCCTAGGGCAGCACAAAACCAGGATACACCACTGGCAGTAGGTATTGTGTTAGTGTATGCAGTGTGTGTATTGTATTGGTGTATGCAGTGTGTGTGCTGTGTTAGGGTATGCAGTGTGTGTGTTGTGTTAGTATATGCAGTGCGTGTGTGTAAATGTGCAATCTGGGGGTGGGGGGGGGGAGGGGCATTTTCACATAAATTTTTTAAATTTTATTTTAAATTAATTAAATGTTTCTCCCCCCTCCCTGCTTCTTACCTGTGTCCAGGGATGGGGGAGATTCCATCCCTTGTGGTCTGGTGACATGGTGGGACCCCCTGGCTCCCTGTTACCGCAGAGAGGGCTCAGCACATTGCCTCTACTCTTCTCTCTTCTAATAACTCTCGCGAGACCCGCGGCCTGCGTTGCCATGGCAACGCTCAGAAGGCCACGGATATTGCGAGAGTTATTAGAAGAGAGGAGAAGAGTAGAGTAGAGGCAGTGTGCTGGGCCCCCTCTGCGGTAACAGGGAGCCGGGGGCCCGCGGCTGCACACATAGATAGTGATATTCGCTATCTATGTGTGCAGAGAGGGAAAGTAGGGCCCGGGACTGCCAGAGCAGTCCGGGCTCCCTAGGACCGCCGGGCCCGTGACAACCATCATGCTTGTCAACCCCTGATGGCGGCCCTGGGATTGGACATCCTTAAAGTGTCCACAAGCGCTTACCATCCGAATCATATGAGATTTATGACTCCTGACTTGTGAGTGATACTTTATTGTATATTATTTCTGTTACAACAATATTGCACTATTTTTTGTATTCATATGATTACAGATATTTATTTAACGCCAATGCAAGAAGCTCCACTTTATGCATGTATGTTTTTCAGTAGGAGAATATGTTCAAATCAGCTATTTTTGCCTAAATTGTGCAATTCAATTTTCTAAATTCACAATAATGTTTCCTACACTACCTCTCATAACATGATATGAATATTTAAACCAGGTTTCATTCCTTTACTACTTCAGGAAAACATATCAATTAAACTGTTCATTGCTTTTTCTCCCCACACCTTCCTTCCTCTCCTGCAACAGTGTCATCCAAAACAAAAACATTGAATGCTATTCTAGCAACCTACTTTCTACCCTACCCTTACGTGTCACTTTACCCAACCGGTGTTAATTTTGGCGGCAAATTTCAATTTAGTTTTAGTCATAGTCTTTTGATTAAAAAGCCATTTTAGTTTTTGTTGTATTTTAGTCATCTGACTTGTTTTTGTTTTAGTCAACTAAGTCTCAAAAAGTTTAGTCGACTAAAATTGTTAGTTTACAAAATGAACACTGTAGCCAACTCCCTCTAGCATGTGAGCGCTTTTGAGCAGGTCCCTCAACTTCCTGTGCGTCCAACTTCTCCGGTTACAGGTACAGGTCTGTTAGTTCACCCATTGTACAGCGCTACGGAACTTGGTGGCGCTTTATAAATATTAATTTCAAGAACCCTGCTGCTGCATGTACCGGTGATCTTAATTTTTTTTTTTTTTTTAAATGCGTTGCTTATCCTCACTGACCACTGATTGACTGATTGATTTAGTTTCTGAATTCCTGAACCGCAGTGACACATGAGCCAGCAGGCTCTTTCTGATGTTGCTACTGGATTTCTCCTTATTCTCCCGCACATTACAAAAGAATAAAAAAACAAGGTTAAATACAAATAATTGTATTTACATTTTATAGCATTTTTATTATAAAAATATTAAATGCATGATACGAATAACAGATACAAGTACAATGTTTTACAAACTGTGCAACAATTTTATTCGTGTTTATTATTTTAAGCCCTTACGATCCAAGTCGTTATAAAAATATGTTTCAATGTAACAGTTGTAAAAAAGATGTTAGTTTACAGTAAAAAAAAAAAAAAAAAAAGTATACTAGTTTTTGTTTTGTATATTTAACATAGCAAATGTTTTCGCTTGCTTGCAAAATAATCACGGGACGTGTGTTTCACTGCGAAAAAAAAAAACAAGTCGGCTTTATGGTTCACTTTCAACACCATAATATAGATTTTTGTAGTAGTTATGGTGCCGTGGGTGCCACCCCTTGGTTTTTTTGATAAGTGTAAATCTATTCCACCTTGCACAGAAATGAAAGGATGAGCATGATAGGCTAACCCACTCCCAAGTTATTTAGAATATTGCATCTTTGGTATGTTGTGTCCCTTTAACAGCTTTATTTATCACTATATATTTTAGAGCTATCAGCAGCTCTGATCCACCTTCTGTGACATCATCATTGCAGATAACTTGGTGTCCAATCACATAACTAATAGAGAAACACTGGCACACATGGCCCATGCACAGCAATCACCATGATAGAGGAACATTGAATCTTATGCTTATCTGTGAGAAGCACTTATTTTTACAATGAACTACAGTTTAAAGCAAATGAAGCTGAACACCCTCCCTGGTGTGACTTGACAGCCAAAAGGAGTTTTTAAGAGGATTGATTTATAAAATTGCGATTTCCCTTGAAATCAACACTTTTATTAAATTATAAAAGCCAGAAGGAAAAAGGGACATTACCCCTAGTGCACCACACTAAGCTACAGTATTTCAGAGGACTCAAGTGTTCCTTTAATTTACAACACATTTTTTTACTTATTTTCCCTTAAACATTGTACTTCACAACAGGAAGTAAGCACCCAAAATGGACGCACCTTAAGCACTCACAATGGAAAGTTCAGGCACTGTGTGTAGTGCAGTCATTCTTCTCCTGGATGATGTCATGCTGAAACAGCATTAAATAATAGATGAGATTTATACCTCTACTAATTGATTCACTTTCAGAACATTGTGCTCAAAATTACTCTCTCACTAATTTTGTACATACATCATATCCCTCATAGTGATACAAAACGTGAGTGTTAACAGTAACAGGCAGTCATAAGGTAACATTCAAAATGTCCCTTGTTGCAGTGGAGATTTCGTATGCAAAGTACTTGGCAATTGGCTCCATGATGGAATACTCTTTAGTTTGTATAATCAAACACTGTATTTACATATAAATTAGATATGCGCTACAAAGTTATTAATAATTGGAGTACGTGATTTACGTCTTCGTAGCTCTTTTTATGACATGGGTAATGACGTCTTCTGGAATAAAACTGATCCGTAAAGTGGCCTTTTGCAGTGTTTCACAACCACCAAAACCAAACGTGCCGCAAATAGGGTGCAAGCCACGGCGAGGAGCACAGCTGAATAAAAATAAAGACAGCAAAAATGAGATAATTTACAAAAATTATTTCCAACCCTTTTTAACCATGTGGGCATTATGTATTGTTATGGCTCTAAATATTTCAAAATCACAGTACTAGCAAGTAAAAGATATACATGTATCTTTGAACAACTATAAAATAGTCTATATTACAACAAATCTTTAAGAAGAGTGTGAATGTCTAGTTAACTAATGTTGACAGCTTTATTTTTTTAATGCCCTTTTTCTAACACATTTTTGCTTTATTAATTTTTATTTATTATTTGGAATATAGAATGCACAGATAGCACATTTATGTTTTATCATAAAGCATTCTGATCTCAGGTCCAATCCAATGGTCTTATATGCATGGCAACTGCCAAGGTCCACCAATCCTATATCGCATGCTGTGATGACACCGAAAGGTCTTAAAGGGACACTCCAAAACTTAAAAAAAAACAACATTTTTATGAGTATATTTTATTTTGTAATACCCTATGGGGAACTAGTAGTGTGTCTAACCCAATTTTTAAGTAAAAAAAAATCTGAAAATAAAAATTGATATCCCAGTGCAGAGCTTTTTCCATGCCCAGTTTGACATCATGCCTCATCACTCCATTCCTCTCCGTGGTACAATCAAATGCTTCTCATTGAGAGGCATTTGATTGAACTGATCTTAAGGCTCTCTAAACCTGCGATAGGAGCGAGGGAGGGAAATTGAAAAAAATGTGGAAAATAAAACTATAACTCACATGACTTGGCCAAGGCCAAGGTGATGCATTAAAGAATCCTAATCACAGAATATGTGGACACTGGCCTTCCATACAGCATTATGAAAGTTGATCTAACATGGGGTTTATGAACTGAGCAGACAGTGATTGGCACTGATGTGAAGAAAAACTCTAAACAAACAAAATGACACTTATTAAAAGTCTGTATGGACCCGGTTACACATTTTGATTGATGGGGAGAATGATCACATTTGGGTTTACTAATTCCTATTTCGAAGAATTGAGAGATTGCGCATTTTCGGCTTCAATAACCAAGCTTGAATTCTTCAAACTCAGCTAGTATTTCTACTCAGTTTTACTCTATAAAATGCAACTCTCACGTATTTACTATAATAGTGTGTAAACCCCTTAAATGTGTAAAATATGCCTAGATTACCTGTATTTAAAAATGGATTGTATAATAAAAGATAAATAATGATTACCTATAAAAATACCATTTGGACCAGGAGATGCAGGATTATAACTCTTGTTCATTGCTCCAGATAAAGCAACAATAACCACAGGATATACAGTGATTGTATAACGGACGTACTTGTCAAACACAAAGTTTTCCAAACAAAACCTGGAAAAGAAGGTGTGATCAGAATATACCGTAAATGCACTTAAAATTCCAGGGTAACTACACCATTATAGTAGTGTAATATAGCGGCAGACTTATTATTTTACACGTCTCTTTCTTTCGAACACAATAGGTGACACACATACCATAACAGTACTTCAAAAGTCAGGATAGCCAGCGCAATAGTAGTGGATGTGCTGTTTGAATAGCCTCCATTGTATGTCAGGACAACAGCAAAGTTTAGTAGACAGGCTATTGTTGTCCAGGTTGTATATACGGCAATTCCATTGTGGACCTGTGAGAAAAACAAACAAAACAAACGCAAAGCAGGTTAACAGGCATCTTACAGGGAAATGGAACTGGCTACGTGAAAAATTAGTTTTATCTATGGACTTGTGTGCACTGCTAATCTAAGGTAGTGAATTTATTGATATCATGGATAATATTTTATAATCAAAATGACAAAATATACAAGAACAGTTACCGGAACACACCAAGCACCATAACCACCGCAGTGTGTTGTTGTGGTAGCGGTGCCAGTAGTCCCCTGTCTTCACCCCCATTGTAAAAAAATTTTTAGACAAGTTTGTCTTCATTCCTGGGGTTTGCCGGGTGCCAGTCCCTGCCTCCTTTCAGCCACCAGTTTAGCCAAGATCTCCTGCTTAAAAACATCTGTTAGTTCCTCAGAGTGAATTCCTGCAGCTTAGCTCAGGAATTGGAGGCAAGGAGTGTCCCCCTGTGGACCCCAGGTAAGACGTTAAACCATTCCAAACTGGTTTGACCAGTAACATTGGGGAGCACCAGGGCACTGTGGGCACTAAAACCACTACAGCATGCTGTAGGTGTTATGATGTTTGAAGTGTTTCTTTAGAGGGAGAGCACAATTAGAAAAGTGTTACATAAAGCACCATGATCGCTTCAGTGATTTGAAGTGGTAATGGTGCCTGCAGTCTGTATGTGTAGTGTTTTGCTATGAAACGTTACAGCCACAAAGGTTAACACCCTCTGCTGCTGAAGGTGTAACTCCACCACTGACATCGTAATTGGAGTGTCATCAGCCAGCCAGGAACTAGAGATGAAGGTTGGCTGATGTCTATTCTGTGCAAGAGAACACTGAAGCCCAGTGTGAACCCAAGCAAAGCATTACGAAGGGTACTCTTGGCATAACCACTACTGCGGGCAGTAATCCTTTAAAGGAAACAATATCTTTTACTTTATCGAAAATAATGATTTTTCAGTTCAACTAATTGTTACCATAAAATGTTAGTCTCTAGTCATTCCAGATTGATTAAATAGCCTTCAGGTTTATCAAACTGTGTATTGGAAACCAACTTGCAAAATCAAGGATTAACAAAGATTCTCCAACTCAACGACAGTCACACAGGATTATTCCCCCAAATGTAGAATTACAGGGAATTCAAAGTAAATTAAGATTTAAGGCCATAACAGATTAACTGGAAAAATTGTGAAAGTCAGCTATGTTTCTAGTTTGGCTAGTCTGGCCTTAAATTTGAAATTCACTTGACATTCCTGACAATTCTCATTTTAGTAAATAACTTTGATAATGTTTATGTGGCTATATTAACTTGATTTTTTTTAAAGGGACACTCCAGACACCCAGACCACTCCTGCCCATTGGAGTGGTCTGGGTGCCAACTACCCTTAACCCTGTAAGTGTAATTATTGCAGTTTTCATAAACTGCAATATTTACATTGCAGGGTTAAGTCCTCCTCTAGTGGCTGTCTGCTAGACAGCCACTCCTGTGTTTATAGAACATGAAAAGTGGTTTAAAACTACGCTGGATGTCCTCACGCTATGTGAGGACCTCCAGCATCGCTGAAATCCCCATAGGAAAGCATTATTTAATGCTTTCCTATGGGGAGGTCTAATGCGCATGCGCGGTTTTAACCCCTTCAGCAACTTGGGATGGGAGGTAGAGGGGCACTAGAGGGTCCTGCAGTGCCAGGAAAACTAATATGTTTTCCTGGCACTGGAGAATCCCTTTAATTCTGTTGTTAATACATTTCATTTCCTACAAATCTAGATGATTAAAAAAAACAAAAACACATTCTAAACCAAGGCTTTAGTAAATTCTGAATAACACATATCAGTTTTAGTCACCATCAGCTATTGTTTTTTGATATTTTGCAAAATGAATGTTTGCAGATTATAAATAAAACTGTTCCATGAAAGACTGTATATACACCGCCATTAAGCATTCTAAAACCGCTCTAGATATCCTGGGGGGTGATCATCATAATATTATGTAAAACTTTGCAAGGACACTCACAAAAATTCTGATGAGCCATAAATCGGATTTACGTAGTCTCTGTAGCCAATCCCCATGGATAAACACAGCTCGGTAAGAAATAAAGAGAACTATATAGTTTGTGAGAGCAATGGCACCCAGAAATACCAGAGCAGGAATCGTATGCCTAAGTAAATAAAACATAATATAAAATAAAAAATTTAATAACACTAAGACACATTTGTAACAATATGTTGCTAAAGGCATATCGTATTCATATATATTTATTCACCCACTCCCACCCCAAAAAAAATAAAAATAGGGCAAGCGTATATGGAAGCTAAAATGGGGTAATGATTAATTATTGATGCTCGCCCTTTAACTCAAAGAGGTATAAACCACTGCACATAATTACACACTTTGATTGTTTTATTCTGTAAATGGGGAAACTTCTTTTAAAGGAACACTATAGTCACCTAAATTACTTTAGCTAAATAAAGCAGTTTTAGTGTATAGATCATTCCCCTGCAATTTCACTGCTCAATTCACTGTCATTTAGGAGTTAAATCACTTTGTTTCTGTTTATGCAGCCCTAGCCACACCTCCCCTGGCTATGATTGACAGAGCCTGCATGAAAAAAAAACTGGTTTCACTTTCAAACAGATGTAATTTACCTTAAATAATTGAATCTCAATCTCTAAATGTAACTTTAATCACATACAGGAGGCTCTTGCAGGGTCTAGCAAGCTATTAACATAGCAGGGGATAAGAAAATCTTAATTAAACAGAACTTGCAATAAAGAAAGCCCAAATAGGGCTCTCTGTACAGGAAGTGTTTATGGAAGGCTGTGCAAGTCACATTTAACTCCTAAATGGCAGAGGATTGAGCAGTGAGGCTGCAGGGGCATGTTCTATACACCAAAACTGCTTCATTAAGCTAAAGTTGTTCAGGTGACTGCAGTGTCCCTTTAAACCGAAAACATTACAAATTTTTCTTTTAAATAAAGTCAGGCAAAACAAAGTTTTTTAAAGAGAAACAGTTAGAAGAAAAATAAAAAAGGGTGGGTGGGAGAGTTGCTTAATTCCAACATATTCTGCAGCACTGTTCAATAGGTAAAATAACAAAACATTATTGACACATTAAAATCCTAGGTGAAGAGGGTCCGGCTTACAATCTTGTTGCATCAGAAGATTGTGAAAACATTATATAGACTTCAGATTGAAGTTAATTTTAGGAGGAGAATTTTTAAATCCATATTTCATATTTTAGAAGATTGCGTGGTCATTGTGTTTAGTTGTTAATGTCTCCATTTTGTAAATATAATTTTTTTTTTTCTATTTGATGTTAAGTGAATGGAATCTCAAAGACCTAAATACCAAGTTGTTGTTTGTTTTTGTTCAAGATATTGAGCCCATCCATGTTTTTAATGCATTACATGTGCATTTTTTTTTGTACATTTGAAATTATTCTTTTGTCTAAAGATCATAAATTTATTGCAAATCCCCAAGGGTTTACAGCTTCATGCACAAGGCTTGAATTGGAAATGTAGTTTAAAGAAGAATCTTGTCCCCACAAGAACTTAATCTCAATGAAGTTGTTATGGGACCTTGGGTTTCAGAGACAAATCTCACACTTGGTTACCCATCTTAACGGTTTATGAACAGTATAACATCAACGTTCTGTCCCCTGGTGACCATCATGATGCCTTTCTATATATTAGCCTTGGCTAGTTGGCTAATAAGGGAGCATTGGTGTGTGCAGCTAGTGATAAGCTAAGAGAGCACATGTGAACCTATCACTGGCCGCCTATTGGGCGTAATAATGCGCACTATAACTCACGATGAGCGGCTATTAACATTCTGAGAGTGTTAGCTCATGCTCCCAGCCTATAACTGGATGCCCAAACCAAACCTTCCATGAGAGCCAAACGCTGAGGAGAGGAATAAAGAGGACAGATGACAGAAGCCCGGGACAGAATTTCATTGTTAAAATGGTTTAACACTATAATCAAAATGGACATCTAAGAAAAATGCGAAATGAGCTATAGACGTATACGAGATGGACGGCTCGGAGTCCTACACAGTAAGCAGTGAAGTAGCCTGTCGAAAGGAAGTGACATGTTTAGCAATTGCTTGGGACAGGCAGAGGGAAGAATAAATGTTCTAGTATGTTGTCTTAGAACAATGGGGACCCTTTTCTCTATATTTGAAGCAATGGGTACAGGTAGTGATAGTACTTTGAGTGTTCCTTAATAGTTGAACCAATTCCATTATATGGGTTAGGCTGTCTATCTTACTGCACATTAAAGCGGCACTGTCATGCCGAATCCTGTTTTTTAACCCCCCCTCCGGCCTCCACTACATCTAACTAACAGCCACAGGCTGCTCACTGTTTACCAGACATGCCCCTACTCGCGGTATAGCGAGTAGGGGAATATTATTTACTAATACTAAGTAATGTTTACTTAGTATTAGTAAAGTTGGCTGAAAGACCAATTTAGGTCTTTCAGCCTTTTAGTAGATAGCTCCCTGATACCGTGGGATTTAGGGAGTTATCTACTAAGCGGCTGCAAGATGCAGCCACAGCAATCAATAGGATCGGAGTTTCATTCATTCGAATTAAATTCCGATCCGAATAAAGTGCCGAATTGAGTTCTAAAAGAAATGAACATACTGTTCTCATTGAGTTAGAACGCAATTCGGCAATTTTGTGTAAAGTGACAGGAAGCATTGTGGGAACACAGAGGGAAGGTAAGGATCATGGGAAAATTGCTCTGACCAGCGGAAATGAAGCACACTTTGCTCCTGCGCTGGTCAGAGCTGGTCAAGCGGAGGAATCCTCCATAAGGCAAAGAGTCCCTACTTTGTCTTATGATTTTAAAGAAAACTAAAGAAGACAGGAAGAAAAGAAGAACAGATCCCGAGAGAGGGGGAGAAGAGGAAGAGATTGAGGAAAGGTAAGTTCGGCATGACAGTGCAGCTTTAAATAGGGACTATAACAAGTTTACTATAATGAAAGGTTTAGCTTGTTAGAACTGATACTTACTCTCTGTCCCACAAGAAGAGCCATCCTATATTGAGGACATTATTCAGCATCCACACAAGGTAAAAAGAAACAGGGAATACATTGGGTTTTAGATAGAACCAGCCCACATCAGTCCTATTGGGATACAAAATGCAAAGTATTAAAATAAAATAAAAATTAAATAAAAAAGGTAAAACACAAGTTTCAAGACTCTAAAAGTATATTTGTATAAAGTAATTTTTACATTAATAATATACTAACTAGGGTTTGGTAAAAGCTCAATGAACTTGAACTGAGAGTTGTTATATTGCTGCGAAGCATACTGTCTGAAAATTTCCATCCGGGGTTGTAACAGGCAGAAATGCCCCTTTTGTTAAAGGGACACTATAGGCACCCAAACCACTTCAGCTCATTGAAGTGGTCTGGTGCAGTGTCCCAGGTAACTTAACCCTAAGAAGGCAATTATTGCAGTTTTCATAAACTAAAAATAACAATAATTAATTGCTGGGGTAACTTCACCTCTAGTGGCTGTCTATTAGATTAAAAACTCAGCAACTAGAGGGACGTCCGAGTCGTTAGGCGACCTTTGGTCACGTAACTGACGCTGGACGCCCTCACACTATGCATGGGTATGTCCAGTGTTGCCCACAACTCCATAAGAAAGCATTATACATAGGAAATCCTAATGCAAAAGCAGCAATCGCCACTCATGCGCATTAGGTCTCCTCCGCTGACTGACAAGGGAGGATCCCAAGCAAGTGCCGAGGGACATCGGTGCTGGACTCAGGTAAGTGTCAGAAGGGGTTTTTAACCCCCTTCTGCACCATGGGTGGGGGCCTTGAGATAGGCCCCCAACAAAGATAAAACTTTGTTTTCTTGGCACTATAGTTTCCTTTTAAGAAAATCTAGCTTATATCTTCTGTTCCATTAAATAAAGGTTTGACTTACAATAAACGTTAGCTTTATATCTCAGCTTGGGAATGTAGCAGTATTGACAGGTTTTTAAAAAAAATATTTGTAAAAATTAATTTAAGTCAGTGATGGTGAACCTATGAAACAGATGTCACTGATGGCAGTGAAAGACCTCAGAGAAGCTATGAAAAAAAATAAATAAAAAAAAATAAAGGGTTTTACTCTGTGCACAGGAGAGGCAGAAACTACAACATAGTTCTTTATTACTGCATTTGTTATTTTTTTTACTTACTACAAATGAAAACAGTAGATCTTGTTGAGGCGATACTAGCATTGGATGGGTTACACAAATAGCATGAATTATTTAGAAATGCAGCATCCAACTTTACCTTCTACAGATGAGAGACAAAACGTAGCCAAGCCAAAGAAACTGCCAAGCAAATATCACATTCCAGATCATAAATGTCCACCCGGCCGGTGTAAAATCAGTGTCATATTTATTTGAGATGTTTCCTACATTTTGCAAGAATATTCCTGGAAGAGATTTAAAAAATAAAAATAAAATAAAAGTTATACTCTCTATACATGTTCCATTACCAAGGAAGCAAATGTGCTATATATTTTCATATTTACTAGGTGATTTGCAGGGTTATTTACTGAAGAGAATTCAAAGTGAATTTCATATGTAAGGTGAAAATAGCCTAATTGGAAAGTCAGTCACTACAACCCAGTTCTTAATTCACCGCAAGTTACGCCTGTTGCTGTTTTAGGGCTAACTGATGACATTATAGTTGTGTCTATTTTTAGCTGTGATAAATTACGTATAGATTAAAAGCCAGTTAGTCATCGTATTACAACATCTTTTTGCAAATGTAAGTTAGTCACAGATATCTTATTAATAGTTCTGTTATCAGTAAATACAGTTTTTTACATTTGCGAATGTTTACATATTACTGTTTCTTTTCCCGTATCCATACATTTAGGACACATAGACTAACTAGGGTGTGCATGTGGAATACAATGTGAATTTTCGGACCGTAGGCCACAACAACCGACCTGGAAATATTGTACATGTCAGCTAAGTATTCAGTTGGGCTATTCTGGCTAAAATTTGGAATTCACAATTTAGTGAATAATCCTGGTTTGATACAGGATTATTTTATTTTACTTTGTATGATGGTGGCATAGTGGTTCAGCTGCCCCATGTCCAAATGCCATCCCTTTAATTAGGACTATGGGATCAGGGCAAATCATTTGGAGGTATAATAGCTGAACCCTTGGTTACCACATTTGCTGTAATCTTGGGTTTTGTGAGTGATCTTCAGATAACTACATCGTTAAGTCTGTATATTTTCTTGCAATTTTACTATCAATATGCATTGATTGCGTGTATATCTACAAACAAATCCACCTTTTAATAGTACATTTTATTTATTACAGTTTCGCATCAACTGCACTTGGAATTCTTACTTTAGTAATTATGACCCTGTATGAGAGAGACTATTTTGGGGATCTGGTTAGATTACCCCCTACGAATTCTTTATATAAAATTACCCACTACTTCAAGGCAGCAGTGAGGATCTGAGTGACTGAGTTAGACTTCATACTTTACATTGAACAATGCGTAGGATTAATCTTAAACATACATGCCATTTTATTCACATAAAAAAATTAGATTTTCTAAAAAAAATAAATAAAAAAAAGTAAAAAAATAATAATAATATTTGACTTCTACCACAAATAAAAAAAAAGAAAAGATAAAAAAAAAGACTTTAAAAAAGGTGAAAATGGGTCTTAAGACTAGATCATTCCAACAGATATTTAATTTTTCCAGATTTTCACTTACCTTTTAATAGTCCTGAACCAGCTATTGCGTTAAATGCCACAGTAACAATATACACAGCTAATGCCAGAAGGATCAGGATAATCTTTAATACGCTGTGTTCATACATATTGGAAGCTGATTAAATAAAAGAGAGGATATAGTGAGGGTAGAATACATTTCTTTCATCCAAAGCAATGTCAAGCACAATAAAACTGGATAAAACCGTATGGGCAACTCTTCCCAAACCATCATCGTTGTTGCATTCAATGTACACAGACAGGGTTATTTAGAAAAGTAAGAATTGTCAGGAATCCAAACTGAATTTCAAATTTAAAGTTACCTATATTGTTGAAAATATTATTCTTTTCTTTCGAACTATTCATCGATATTACAGTTACCTCTGTCCAATGTTAAATATTTTACTTGTCTTGTTTCAGCTGCCCGCTCCACCTCTTCGATAGAAAGCATGCTGATGTCTTCTGTCTTCTCGTCCAATCCAATGCTTCTCGTTGAGAAGCATTGGGGACAACAAGCACATGCACAGCAAGCTCTACCTTCCTCCAATCAAATGCTCTCTTAGAGAAGCATCAAAGGAGGTAAAATTTGACTCAGTTCTCACAGGAAAATTGCATTCTAGTGACTGTCAGGAATACTGCCACTACTGGTGTATTTAGCCCTGCAATGGAAAAATTGCTGTATCTACAAAATTGGATTATTTTACATTGCAGATCCAAAACAGCAGGGCCACTGAGATGAAGTGGTCTGCTTGCCTATAGTGGCCCTTTAAGGCTGAAGTAGCCAAACTGGGCCCATAGCGGACTAAGAGAATTTTTCCAGTTCGGCTACATTGGCCTTAAAGGAGTACTATAGCGTTAGGAATACAAATATGAATTCCTAATGTTACAGTGCCCTAATCACCACTTGGGTGACTGGACCAGCACTGCCAGGGTTAACTCACCCTTTATCCCTCGCCGGTCTCCTAGCTCAAGCTCTTGTAGACGGCGGTAGAAAATATCCCTACTTTGTCAGATGAAAAATTAGAAAAGAAAGAGTAGGAAAAAGGAAGAGAAGAAGATATGATTGCGAAAAGGTAAGTATGGCGACAGCGCCACTTTAAATTGTCAGATGTAGTGTAATCTTTAGAATTAGACCTTATAAAGTTACGTTACTGATAATAGATATATGAACTACCATGTTCACAGCTCCTACCCAAAAATGGCAGCAGCACCATACATTGTGTGATGATAATGAAATTTAGTCATGTGGTTGAACATGCAGCCATTAGCACCCGTTTTTCGCAGCCATCTTAAAGGTGACACACAATCGTGAAGTATACCTTTATACAGCATAATATAAAACTTGTCATTGTTATTCACTAAGGTAAGACATCAAAGTAAATTCAAACTGATTTTCAAATTTAAAAGGAACAATATAGTGTTAGGAATACAGTTGTAGTGTGTCCCCCCTCCCCCCCCCCCCCACGGCAAATAAAGTGTTATAAAAACATGCGCTGCTTCCTCTTACTTCAGCCGATGGGGAGAACCTGAAGAGCATGCACAGTTGGCCTTTCCCATAGTTAAGTATACAATCAAGGTTTTCCTATTGGGATTTAGAAGACAAGACTGAGCTTGTATAAAAAGAGATATAAATTCATCTACTCACACACACAGTACAAGCTCCTTATCCCCCAGATTATTTCATCAGTGGATGTGACACCCAAACATGGACTGTCTATTTAAACAACAACTAACTTATGCAACTGAGAAAGGCCAGGAAACTCCTCTAGAGACTGTCTGGTAGACAACCACTAAAAGCAGGCTTAAAACTGAAATGCAGGGGGGCGGAGCTTGACAACCAACCTGACAAGACGCCATGCTGATAAGCTCCTCCGAGCAACATCAAAAATCCACGGATATCTCGCAAAAGAGAGCCCATCCAGCCCTAAAAAGTGGATAGCTGAACACACCAACACTCCCTGAGGCGACAGACACCTTTTTTTCTTGCACCCAACCAGCCGAAGCGGAGAAAGAAAACCGGGGCCTACCCCACGCTGACACTACCAGGCCTGGAGGCGCTACTTACACAACAAGTAAGAAACGATCCCTCCCGGATCCCTACAGACGCCCACGCCCAAATGCCAGCTATGGGCCGCCGCTCCCAGAAATCGGGGCATCGGACCACAGGGACATAGAGACACTGTTCCAACGACCGGCACAGACCAAACCTGCACCCGCGGAAATCCCGCGACCAACCAACCACAACTACCCGGGAGAAGAAACGGGGTCTGACCGCTTACCAGCCGCCCAATCGAGGCCGCATGAAATCCCCACTGACTCCACACCGACAACCAGGCAGGACCTAAAGGTCCTACTGTCAGACTTCCACAAAATTCTGGCGGCAGAACTCGCACCAATAAAACATGACATGAAGGCCATCACTGACCGAGTGCAGGCCTCAGAAACAGATATAGCGGATATGCGAACGCACATCTCAGAACTCCCTGCAGCAGGTCTGGTCCCACCAGAACACCACGTCCACACAGATAACGGCAATGGCAGACAGTCTCCGCCGATCCAATATAAAAATCAGGGGCATCCCCACGGCAGTATCAGCGGACGAACTGCCTCACTATGTTAGGCGCCTACTGGCCTCTATCCTGCTTCACGCAGTAGCTAAAAAGCTGACGGTGGAGGGGATCTACCGCCTACCTGGACCCGCAGGGGGACCAACTAACATGGCAAGAGACGTCATACTAAGGTGCCTCACAGTGCACGACAAAATACTCATCATGTCCGCAATTAAAGGCAAAATGCCTCTATACTTTGAAGAGGCTCATCTCTCGTTTTATCAAGATCTCACAAAGACAACCCTAGAAACATAGAAACATAGAATGTGACGGCAGATAAGAACCATTCGGCCCATCTAGTCTGCCCAATTTTCTAAATACTTTCATTAGTCCCTAGCCTTATCTTATAGTTAGGATAGCCTTATGCCTATCCCACGCATGCTTAAACTCCTTTACTGTGTTAACCTCTACCACTTCAGCTGGAAGGCTATTCCATGCATCCACTACCCTCTCAGTAAAGTAATACTTCCTGATATTATTTTTAAACCTTTGTCCCTCTAATTTAAGACTATGTCCTCTTGTTGTGGTAGTTTTTCTTCTTTTAAATATAGTCTCCTCCTTTACTGTGTTGATTCCCTTTATATATTTAAATGTTTCTATCATATCCCCCCTGTCTCGTCTTTCCTCCAAGCTATACATGTTAAGATCCTTTAACCTTTCCTGGTAAGTTTTATCCCGCAATCCATGAACCAGTTTAGTAGCCCTTCTCTGTACCCTCTCTAAGATATCAATATCCTTCTGAAGATACGGACTCCAGTACTGTGTTCAATACTCCAAGTGAGGTCTCACCAGTGTTCTGTATAATGGCATGAGCACTTCCCTCTTTCTACTGCTAATACCTCTCCCTATACAACCAAGCATTCTGCTAGCATTTCCTGCTGCTCTATTACATTGTCTGCCTACCTTTAAGTCATCAATGGCCTCCAATGGCGCAAAACATTCCAACCGGTAACAAGCCTTTTACGTTCAACAAACATAAGCTACAGGTGGGGAACGAACGGATCCTTAACGGTGACCCAGAATGGAAACCTACATACACTTACTTCGATGGAAGACACACCACCATTCCTCACAGCACTGGGCCTGGAGCCACTGAGGACAAACACACCCCCGAACACCTCCACTCCCATTTGGAATCCGGAGAAGACGGTGACCTTCGTCCCGAGGAACGGGAGCAAGAGAGCGACGGACCCAGGACCAAGCTTGAGAGCCGACCCAACATAGGATACACGGAAACGACACCTGAGGACTGCCTTGCCAGGCACAACCGCTCCCAAGTCTTACAAGAGACTATATGTTCAGTTATTTACTATTAATATCACCTTCTGTGCTTCCTTTCTCTCTCCCCTTCCCGCATAATTTCTTATTACTACAACCGATAGGACCAACACCAGCTCCAGGGCGCACAACACGACTAGTGGAGGGGGACACACCTACGGTACCAACTATCCCACAACTGAAATCACTCAAACTCCCTCCCTACACAAACAAACTAGCGGGCACCCTAGAACACCCACACTCCATACCCCTCCGAAACTCCCTTGGTCAGGAGTGCTCACCCGGAGTGCATAGATTTAGTCAGGACATAGCCCTGATACCGGCTCCTGACAGCCATGTCACCTCGGACACTACCTACAAGACCACACTTACTCTATGCACATACAGCAGCCTAGCCAAGCACGCATATACGCAAATATATGTTGCAGCTCCGGCCCAGTAACGCTCACATGCACCCCCAACATAGGGAAACAACACCCTTAGGTAAGCGGAGAAACAGTACGCAGCCACACACCCCTCAAAAATAGGGGAACTCGCAAGTCACCTAAGCTTCTGCAAGCACCTTAAAATGTAAATTGGGTAAGTCCGTACTGTATACTCCCTAACACCAGTACGGCACATTTTCCTAATATGACATGCATACATACCCTCCATACCTTGTGCTGGAACATACAGAATCAAACAAGAGATTAGCGTAGTAAGGTACTAGAATTGCATGTAGTCAGGGCCAGTGCAGTAACTTTGACTCTCCTTTGCAAGCCTATCAAGTTACACACACGCCTTATAACAAAGCGATTTAGGCATTTATGGAATTAACATGGCCTCACCTCCTCCCGTGCCATCATGGTGTTATATTTTATTCCTTGAAAATACCTGGCTGCCGACCCATGCCCATCACTACAACTCGTAACTAGAGGCATGCCGAGGGTTAAACCCGCAGCTAGCTTAGAACCATCAATGGTAGTTCACTTTTGCACAAAAGCCAGACTAAGCCTGTATCACTCACTCAGAATGCTGTTTTATGTTGCCTAACATTAGCCAAATTGATATGCCAGCAAAGGTACCTCCAACTAGGAGTCAGGGTTGGCTGCTGGACCTATGACTGTTTATTATTTTCATCATCTTTAATCTTAATAAATTGTGCATATTTTCTTATGTACCTCTATGTCTAAATGTTTATATAGCAAGTTGGAGGATTGCCTTTGGGGTACCTCCAAACTGTCTGTTATGAGCTTATGCACTACAAAAAAAAAAAAAAAAAAAAACTGAAATGCAAACATTGTAATTCCTCTGAAACTGCAATGTTGGGTTAGGGGGGACAGGGACACTGCACCCAGACCACTTCAATAGGTTGAAGTGGTCTGGGTGCCTATAGTGTCCCTTTAAGGTCAAAATAGCAGAACTAAAAAAATTCTTAGCACTTAAGTTTTGAGTTTGGCTACTCTGGCCTTAAATTTGATTCACTTTGAATTCTCACTTTGGCAGAACTCCCTGAAAGTGAATTTCAAATCTGAAGTAAAGTAGCAAAGTTGTAAAAAAATCACCTGCTAGGTTTTCAGTTAGGTTAGATAAGCCTAACATTTCCAATTCACTTTGAAAGCCCATCAATTCACACTTAAATGAATAATCCTTCATGTGTGTACCTTCCCAAAACTTGAATCTGTCACATATTTCGGATTGACAGAGTCACTTTAAAAGAACATTATCACACCCAAATACTATACAAATCCAGGATCATAAAATCTCATTATTGTTACACCAATGATTTAGAAAGAATTTTCTAGTAATACATTGCAGAACACTATGACTCAGAACTAGAGACTGTCCCTATTATTCTGGGTATATGGTACGAACATCTTTTGTTATTCTAGAAACTGTGAAATACAACTCACAACAAGCTCAGCCAGTGTGTTTGTGTTACTGACTTTTCATGATCATAATTGCAATCCACAGCAGCTGAAATGCAAGGAACTGTCTGCTAAATTGTAACACTAATAACACAGAAACAGAGACAGTGAAACCCAGTTCTATTCCTAGAAATCAAACAACATTGGGCTGTAATTGAGCTGTGTTTATTGTACCCAGACTTGTTAACCCACTAATTTGCACTTTATTAAAACTAATGGGAAAGAAAAGCATTTAATTCAATTAACCCCACTTTCCAATACAGTATTTTCAATGCAATTATAAATGGTTCTGCTCCAAGAAATCCCATAATTCCAGCATTCACCCTCCCTGATAGAATGATTTCCTTGGAATCTGTGTGGGGGGGGGAAGGAGGGGGCACAGAAGAGAAGATAATCCTCACACTGAGCTTGTATAAAATCGATATAAATTCATGTACTCACACACAGTGCAAGCTCCTTATCTCCCAGATTATTTCATCAGTGGATGTGACACCCAAACATGGACTGTCTATTTAAACAACAACTAACTTATGCAACTGAGAGGGGGCTGGCTCAGGCTCCCAGGGGCCAATGGAGAGGGAGGGGCAGTGTGTGAGTCACGTTTGGTGCATTGGATTGGATGCTGTACGCTGAATGGGATGCTTTGCTTATACAACTGTGACTAGAGGAAGCTTATACAACCGAGAACAATAGTTTGCCACTGACAGAGTCACGTTCCTAGAAGCATGTAGGATTTTATCTACTGAGTGCTTGTACCCATCCATGGTGTATTGGAGTATACAGTGCATGTACCCATCCATGGTGTATTGGGGTATACTGTGCATGTAACCATCCATGGTGTATTGGGGTACACTGTGCTTGTACCCATCCATGGTGTATTGGAGTATACAGTGCATGTACCCATCCATGGTGTATTGGGGTATACAGTGAATGTACACATCCATGGTGTATTGGGGTATACTGTGTATGTACCCATCCATGGTGTATTGGGGTACACTGTGCATGTACCCATCCATGGTGTATTGGGGTACACTGTGCATGTACCCATCCATGGTGTATTGGGGTACACTGTGCTTGTACCCATCCATGGTGTATTGGAGTATACAGTGCATGTACCCATCCATGGTGTATTGGGGTATACAGTGCATGTACCCATACATGGTGTATTGGAGTATACAGTGCATGTACCCATCCATGGTGTATTGGGGTATACTGTGCATGTACCCATCCATGGTGTATTGGGGTACACTGTGCTTGTACCCATCCATGGTGTATTGGAGTATACAGTGCATGTACCCATCCATGGTGTATTGGGGTATACAGTGCATGTACCCATACATGGTGTATTGGGGTACACTGTGCTTGTACCCATCCATGGTGTATTGGAGTATACAGTGCATGTACCCATCCATGGTGTATTGGGGTACATCCATGGTGTATTGGAGTATACAGTGCTTGTACCCATCCATGGTGTATTGGGGTACACTGTGCTTGTACCCATCCATGGTGTATTGGGGTATACAGTGAATGTACACATCCATGGTGTATTGGGGTATACTGTGTATGTACCCATCCATGGTGTATTGGGGTACACTGTGCATGTACCCATCCATGGTGTATTGGAGTATACAGTGCATGTACCCATCCATGGTGTATTGGGGTATACTGTGCATGTACCCATCCATGGTGTAATTGTTGTATACTGTGCATGTACCCATCCATGGTGTATTGGGGTATGCTGTGCATGTACCCTTCCATGGTGTATTGGGGTATACTGTGTATGTACCCATCCATGGTGTATTGGGGTATACAGTGCATGTACCCATTCATGGTGTAATCGGGGTATACTGTGCATGTATACATCCATGGTGTATTGGGGTACACTGTGCATGTACACATCCATGGTGTAATTGGGGGTATACAGTGCATGTACCCATCCATGGTGTATTGGGGTATACTGTGTATGTTACCCATCCATGGTGTATTGGGGTACACTGTGCATGTACACATCCATGGTGGAATTGTTGTATACTGTGCATGTACCCATCCATGGTGTATTGGGGTACACTGTGCATGTACACATCCATGGTGGAATTGTTGTATACTGTGCATGTACCCATCCATGGTGTATTGGGGTATACTGTGCATGTACCCATCCATGGTGTAATTGGGGTATACTGTGCATGTACACATCCATGGTGTAATTGTTGTATACTGTGCATGTACCCATCCATGGTGTAATTGTTGTATACTGTGCATGTACCCATCCATGGTGTAATTGGGGTATACTGTGCATGTACCCATCCATGGTGTAATTGGGGTATACTGTGCATGTACCCATCCATGGTGTAATTGTTGTATACTGTGCATGTACCCATCCATGGTGTATTGGAGTATACAGTGCATGTACCCATCCATGGTGTAATTGGGGTATACTGTGCATGTACCCATCCATGGTGGAATTGGGATATACTGTAAGATATATTGAATAATATGTCTATAAATAGGCCATGTATGTCATGTGTCTTATCTGATATGAGTAACATTTAAAATGTATCTGTAAATAATGTGTGGTTCTATCTGTGGTGTTCTGCCCACTTCCGGGTAGCACTATTGATACTGCTCATGGCAGAGCTCACTGATCAGAGATTTCCGGTAAACACGGCGGAGGTACTAATTGTAATATGAAATAAGTCAATCCAGTGGAACCTGAGGATTTCTACTCTTTATGCCACAGGACACCATTTTATCTATTATGGGTACACATTCTTTCTCTTACACCAAGCTCACACACACTGACATGACTGTAGTGTCATACACAATGCCAATTATTTTCATGCACACTCACAAATAAAATATTACATATAATTCACCGGAAGGGGTGCATAGGTCTGGGGAAGGTCAGTGTGCAGCGCTATCTCCATCATACAGAGTCTCCTTCCTGCTCCCTTTGGCGAAGCGCGGGTTGACAAGCAACGACAAGTAGGGATATAGGCTGGCGGATATCCTGACATTCCCTACGGTAACAGGGCGGATGCCGAGTTGCTTTGGGCAAGGGTTCTTTATCCCGTTCTGGGACAGGGGGGGTCTAGGGTACGGCGCAACCTTGAGTCGGTGGCGGAGTTCCCAGGGATGGTGCGGGAGAAATTAGAAAAGGAAGTCTTATTGGGAAGGATGGCGGGCCCGTTCTTGGCACCGCCGTTGGAAGGCCTCAGGATTTCCCCGCTCGGGGTGGTACCCAAGAAAGAGCCGGGGAAGTTCAGGCTCATTCACCACCTCTCCTACCCCAAGGGAGCGTCGGTGAATGATGATATCGACAAGGAGTTGTGCTCGGTCTCATATGCATCATTCGACCGGGCAGTCGAGCTGGTAAAGAAGGCCGGGCGCGGGGCGCTGATGGCAAAGGTGGACATTGAGGCAGCATTTCGGCTGCTTCCGGTCCACCCGGCATGTCACCGCCTGCTGGGGTGTTTCTTTGAAGGGCCATACTTTGTGGACTTGTGCCTCCCCATGGGCTGTTCCATCTCGTGCTCATACTTTAAGTTCAGCACTTTTCTCGAATGGGTAGTACGGGCGGAGGCAGGGAATGGATCGGTGGTGCACTATTTGGACGATTTCTTCTGCATGGGGCCGGCGAGCACCCCTGCTTGCCGGCGTTTGCTTCGGACTATCGAGTGGGTCGCGGGGTGCTTCGGGGTCCCGCTGGCAGTGGATAAAACGGAAGGCCCGGCAGTGTGCCTTAGTTTCCTGGGGCTGGAGATTGACTCAGTACGGGGCGAATGTCGGCTGCCGCTGGAAAAGCTGCAAGGGCTAAAAGGGGCGGTGGCAGCAGTAGCGCAGGCGAGGAAAGTCACCCTGCGGCAGCTGCAGTCATTGATCGGGATGCTGAATTTCGCTTGCCGGGTAATAGTAGGGTAGGGTAGGGTTTTTAGCCGCAGCCTATCGGCAGCTACGGCAGGGGTGCGATCCCCATGCCATTTCATCCGGGTATCGTCCGCCATGAGGGCCGAGCTTGCCGTGTGGGATACCTTCTTGCGGGACTTTAATGGGACAGTGTTTTTTCGTCAGGAAGGGGTGTCGGTGACAGAGCTGGAGCTGTTCACTGACGCGTCAGGTAGTGTGGGCTTCGGGGCATTCTTTGGTGGGAAATGGTGCGCGGAGAGGTGGCCGCTGGCGTGGGGGCCGAGCGCCCTTATTGCGGAACCTGGCCTTCCTGGAATTGTTCCCGCTGGTGGTCGCGATGGCTCCGTGGGGGGAAGGGCTGCGGGAGAGGAAGGTGGTCTTTTTCTCGGACAATATGGCGGTAGTGCACGCAGTGAATAATCAGTCGGTGGCGTCAAAACCGGTGGTCCAGTTTCTGCGGCACTTCGTCCTAATGTGCATGTCCCGCAATGTTGTCTTTCGCGCGCGCCATGTGCCCGGGTACTTGAACGAAGTGGCTGACTCTCTCTCTCGTTTTCAGTGGTCCCGATTCCGGACGGTGGCACCGGAGGCGCAGGAAGCGGGCCAGGCGTGCCCGGATGAAATTTGGTGGCTGGGAGCTTCCTGCTTGGGGGACTTGTGAAGGCTTCTCTGGCACCGGCCACATGGGCCGCTTACAGTAAGGTGTGGGGTTCATGGGAACGATCTTGGGCTGGGCCGGATTGCGTGCCGGAAGGGGAATCGCTCCGGGATGCGTTTCTGTGGTACACCTGTCAATTGCTGGCAAAGGGGGCCTCCCCGGGGGTGGTTGACAGGTCCATGGCGGCGATGGCTTTCTGGTTTAAGCTGCATGGGAAGGAAGACGTTACTAAGTCCTTCGTCATCAGGCAGGCGCTTAAGGGTTATCAGAAGGGGCGCAGGTTTCCAGACACTAGGCGCCCGGTGTCGGTGCGGGTGTTGGGGGATCTGGTTAGTGGGCTGCCTGGAATTTGCTTCGATGAGTTTGAGGTATCCCTGTTTCGGACAGCGTTTCTGTTGGCTTTCTTCGGGGCTTTCCGGATTAGCGAGTTGGTGAGTGCCAATCGGGTAGCGGCCGGGGGCCTACAGGTCTCGGGGGTTCGGCTGCAAGGGGGGAAATTGATGGTTCACCTGGCCGAATCTAAGACGGATTTACGGGGGGTGGGCCGTGATGTGACACTTCAGGCCCTGCCGGGCTCCGTTCTGTGCCCGGTAGCCTCGGTGGCAGAGTATTTTGTCCGGAGGCCGAAGGTTGGGGGATCCCTCCTGGTGCACGCAGACGGGTCTTCCCTCTCCCGATTTCAATTTATTAAGGTTTTTCGGTGGGGCCTGGGAAAAATGGGGTTACGGGTGGATAGCTTTGGTACACATTCCTTTCGCATCGGGGCGGCCACGGAAGCTGCAAGGTTGGGTCTGGGGGACGACATAGTTAAACGAATTGGGAGGTGTGAGTCAGTACGGTTCCGGTCGTACGTGCGGTTGGGATTGTTAGAATGATATGTCGGGCCTTTTTCGGGGATTGCCGAAGGGCAATAGGGGGGTGTTGTTACAATCTGTGTTTTCTCTCTTCCCCAGGCTATGTTGCATGTATCGTGGGCCATTGCTTTGTTTTCTGGGCCGAAAGGAGAGCCGCAGCTCGAGCTCAGGGCCAGCAGCTGGGCTTTTCAAGGGACCAGTTGGTGGTGCAATGGTTTGGGTATAGGGGTTTTTGCTGGGGGGAAGTTTGCCGGGAAGTGTTCCGGATGGTGGCAGGCGGGCGGAGGCCGGACCTGCTGGTGCTACATGCGGGGGGCAATGACTTGGGCCTAACACCGCAGCGGAGGTTGGTGAAGTGGATGAAGCAGGACCTCAACAAATTGAGGGACCTGCTTCCGGGAGTGATGTTAGTATGGTCAGAGATTATCCCGAGGAGGCAGTGGCGGCACACAAGGGACCCGGTGGCCATCGACAAGTGTAGAAAGAAAGTGAATAGCTTGATGGCAAGCTTCGTGAGAAAGTTGGGGGGGGGGGTGGTAGTTCGGCACAGCGATTTGGAAGGCGGGTTGCCGGGGTACTACCGCTCGGATGGCATTCATCTTTCGGCAGTGGGATGGGACCTGCTGAACCTGGGTTGACAAGACGGAATAACCAAGGCGCTATTTCTTCGGGGTGGCGGAGCTCAGACGGCTTAAAGGGTCAAGGTCTGAGCTTGTGGCGGGATAGGGAGCTGAAGCAGAAGGAATAGGCTCCCTAGGATGAACGTGACAGATATGGAAAACTGTGGTCATTGGTGGTTGGTAGGTTTCGAGTCCTGTCGGTGGCTCAGAACCTGGTGGGGTAGGGGTATCCGGGTATACCTCGGCCTTTAAGTTGGTATGTTGGAATAATGTTGGTATATGTTATATATATGTGTTATTTATATGGGGGTCATTGCCTTTTATATTAACAGAAGGAATCGGATGCGAGGGCGGAGTATGGGGGGCAATGACCCATGTTTATTTGTTAAATTATTACTATTATTATGTTATATTGAATATATGGTTATTATTATTCAGATTGTTTAATAAAGCTGTGGACAAATTTTCCCATATACCCGAGTGTCAGTGCATTATTGGGTTAGGTATGTGGGAGGGTTGTCCTGGAGTCCGACTGCCCATGTGGCGACTATACACCGGTCATGAGGACAGGGGATGAGAATATTTTCCTGGTCTGTGTGTAGCCATATTCTCAGGCACATACCATTTAATTCATAATTCAAACTGAACTATTAGTTCTATAAGTATCAGCACTATAAGTGCGTATATACATGTTCCTTATAAATGTTTGTTCTGCACTTCCTCTTGTTCGAGCTCAGTAAAGTGACGCATACCTCTTAAATAATGAGTTAAACAAATCTTAATGTGATTTAAATATATAAGCAATGATATATAAATTCTGATAAAACCTTATTACTTTGTATTTCTGTATTTGACTGTAAATAGAACAGTTTTTCATAGAATGCAGCAGCAGGTAATGTAAACTCTATTGAACCTGTGTTTCATAACCTGGGGCATGGCATGGGATATGTAACAGGTGTTGTCAGACAGGTTTGTAACGTGGAACACCTTCAGTTGTGTAAAGAGAGCCAGTGCGTCTCTGAATTCCGTGGGTTCTTTTGGAAACTTTGCTAGAACACACTCAGTGAAGGTGGAATGTGCCAGAATACGTACTAACTATGTCATGCATTATTTTCTCTGAAACTGATTTTAATTAACACATTCCACAGGGCTGACAAACTGCACGACATTGAACACTATTGTCACTACTAACCATCGTTGGGTTGCAACTCCCATCACCCATAGAAAGCTTTTACTTTATGGAGTTGCTCGTGTTCTATATGGCTCTTTGGGTAGAAATAGAAAACAAAAAAAATTGTAACTTGTCAAGAATTCAATCAGGGTTATTCACCGAAGTGAGTATTACCTGGAATTTAACGTGAATTTCAAATTTAAGGAAAAAAGCTGAAGCAGTTGAAATGGAAAAAATCTCCATGTTTCTAGTTTATTTTGGCCTTCATTTTGAAATTCACTTTGAATTCCTGCCAATTCTAACCTTATTAAATAATTCTGTGAGTATGTCATGCCTCTTTAAATGCCGGAATCCAGACCAAGAATTCATTAGAGTTATGATTGTCTCTACTGTACATAGCGTGCCAGTAAAGTGGCTATTGTGTGGGGTTTTTTTTTTTATTTTTTATTTTTTTTTTACAGATTATACAAGTAGTGTCAGAACAACATAACCTTCCACACTCTGTTATTCTATATTTACAAAGATCACTCTGCCGAGGACTTGACACTGTTACACAAAGTGAAATCGTGCTCAAATGAATATAATTGACCTCTAATGCTGTGCTCACTGTGCTCAGGGAACAGAGCTGTCTTGGAGTTCTACTTATACTGTATATCAATTTAGGCTCACTATGTTTTGATTAACCTTTTAAAGGGTTACTCCAAGTACCATGACCACTTTAGTATTTTGAAGTAGTCATGGTACCTATAGAGCTTTATACCTTTGCTGTTGGAGGTGTAATTCCACCTCTGGTTAATGTCAGTTCTGTGCGTATTTCTACACGCACAGGGTCATTCATTGGCTGAGAGTGATCAGCTAATCCTGCCAGCAAATAAATGTCTGAAAAGATCAGCAACAGGCTTCCATCGCGCTGCAGAAGCTGGATCCCCAGCTATAGGAGGATGCTCAGTGTTGGAAAACGATTTGTCCCATTACTGTGGAATGTGGCCAGGATACTCCTAGCATCATAACCAGGGGTGTATTTACCATGAGGCTGCCAAGGCATTTGTCTTGGGCGGCACTTTCTAGGGGGCGGCAAAAAAAGCGGCCCCCCTAATTGCCCTGGCAAATGCCCTGCCAGCCTCTTGTCCTGGGGGGCCTAGGAGATGGCCGGCTGGTCACCTCAGGGCCCCCTGAGGCTGGCAGCTGCGGCACTTTACGGGCGGGCGGCGAGGGAGCACTGATATTCCTGTTCAGCTCCCTTGCCGCACCAAAGTGATGCCGGAACCGGAATATGATGTCACTACAGCCCTGGCATCGCTACGCGGCGCGTGAGGGAGCTGATTTGGAGGATCAGTGCTCCCTTTCCGACTATAGTGACCGGCCACCCAGCAGCCACACTGGACCCCACGGAAAGTGACAACCCACTCCAGCACTCCCAAAGGTAGGGAGGCTGGGGGGATTGAATCTTACCAAAAAAATTTAAAAATGTGAGTGTGTGTCTCTGTTAGTGAGCGTGTGTTTGTCTGTTAGTGTGTGTCTGTTAGGGAGTGTGTAAATATGTGTGTGTGTGTGTCTGTTAGTGAGTGTGTTACTATGTTTGTGTCTGTTAATGTGTGTGTGTCTGTTAGTGAATGCGTTAGTGTGTGTGTGTCTGTTAGAGAGTGTGTTAGTGTGTGTCTGTTAGTGAGAGTGTGTGTCTGTTAGTGAGTGTGTTAGTATGTGTGTCTGTTAGTAAGTGTGTATGCATGTCTGTTAGTGAGATTGTGTATGTTGTCTGTTAGTGTGTATGTGTGTCTGTTAGTGAGTATGTATGTCTGTTAGCTAGTGTATGTGTGTCTGTCAGTGAATGTGTGTCTGACAATGAGTGTATATGTGTCTGTCAGTGAGTGTGTATGTGTATTTAGAAGGCGGGGTGGGGGTGCCTAAGTTTTGTCATGCCTAGGGCAGTGCAAAACCAGGATACACCACTGATTATAACCAGTACAATGTGCGCACTGTGCCTAGAGAGGTATCAGCTACACCTTGCTCACAAAGCCCCAAAAAGGGATTGCAGTATCGCTTGAGCAGAGAGGTCTTGCTGGCATTTCGGTACTGGACTGCCTTGTGGGCTAGATCAGTCTGAAATGCAAATAGTAAAGGTACTCTTTGTAATGGTACAAGTGAGCAAAAACATTTAAAATCTGAGCAAGGACTAACAAAAGTGTAAGTTATTGAGGTTTCTCTGAGTTTTTGCCTGTTATCAGACCTCTGATATTCTCTGGTTTTGTTGCAGTATCACATTTAAGTATGGAGTAAATTGTGCATTAGGATGATAAACAAAAATTCCCACATCTATGATATCCACCACCTGCTGAATTCTCATTACATTTAATTTCTTGATGTAGTCAATGTATTCTACAAGCAACGTTAAACTGAAGTTATCTTCCAAAACACATACCCATCTGTTGTGCCTCTGTTATGTAAGCGGAGAACAAACATATACAGAAAGCTGATGGACATCCATATTGCTTTAAAAGTAGGCATGCTTTCTGATCTAACTAAACCGTCCAATCAAATGCTTTTCTATGAGAAGTTTTTGGATGTGATGTCAGGAGGGGGTGTGTCCTGACCTGAAACTGGAATTCAGGTAAGTTCAACTTTATTTTATTTCTGTTTTGAACATTTGGATGGAGCACCTGAAGAATAATGACCAGTAGGGAATTATGCATTATGTATAGATTTATAAAGGGTTAAAGAAAAAATGTAAATATATCTATTCAATGGCCCTTATTGTCAATAACCGCCTAGAGCAGTGGTTCCCAATTAATTTTTCCCGTGGAACCCTTTGACATGGGATATAAACATTGTTATGGGCAAATGCAAATATTGTATTTCTCAAACTGTGGACTTTGTTTTTAAAATATATTGCAAACTGACATGGTGTTAGAAATGGAACATATTGTTTTTCATACATGTTTCTTTAAGCACTAACCTTTTACCTACTTTCAGTGCATAATATGTTTGACGAAATACAACAACAATAATGCATCAACGAGCTTCCTAAGATACTTTCAGTACATAATATACCCTAAATAGATAAAGATGTTCAGACTTTAAGATGCCATCTTATCCTAAGTCAGGGAATTTTCCATGACGTGTGCACCCTTACGTTTTAGTTATGGCCTTGTACTTTTGCCAAGTTAAGGGAGGTCCTAAAATTAAAGGGACACTATAGTCACCAGTGCAACTACATGTATTCCTGACCCTATAGTGTTAACATGACCATCTAGCCCCGCTGGGCCCCTCATGCCTCCATAAATATAGTAAAAATCTTACTGTATTCAAGCCAGAAGTTGTAAATCTGCATGCTGTTAGACTAAAGAAAAACAACCAGTCTGCTGACATGTGATAGCCTGATCCAATCACAGTGCTTCCCCATAGGATTGGCTGAGACTGACAAGGCAGATCAGGGGCAGAGCCAGCATGATTCAAACACAGCCCTGGCCAATCAGCATCTCCTTGTAGAGATGAAATGAATCAATGAATCTCTATGAGGAAAGTTCAGTGTCTGCATGCAGTGGGAGGAGATACTGAATCACAGGATGCTCGTGCACAGCAGATCTGAGTGGATGGAGGCATATTATGCCTCCATCAACTCAGAAGTTCCTCTGGTTCACTCTGAGTGACTGCAACTGGAGGTGTTCCTAGCTTTCAACGTAAACACTGTATTTTCTCAGAAAATACAGTGTTTATATGAGAAAAGCTGCAGGGAGCTATAGTTCTCATCTGAACAACCTCATTAAGCTGAAGTTGTTCGGGTGACTATAGTGTCCCTTTAATAAAGTAAAAGTGGTACTTTTTTCATATATGAACTACGGTAACCCTAAAATGAAGACACCTAAGGTATAAATATGTGTACCTTTTAAAAGGTTAACACAGAGAGGAGAGATTTGGAGACAGATGCTACATCTTATAATGACAGAGAGGCTGACATGATGACATGTTCAGGAGCGTATGTTATTCTATTAATGATA